AGCGGCTGACGGCGGCCGGCGCTTGTGGTCAGAACAGACCGACCGACGCCTCGTCCCCCGCTCCCCACCAACGCTCCCTTCTGACCGGAAAGCCGCGGCTGCCTTCCTAAAACTGGCTTTTAAAATGATTGACGAACGTATTGTTACCTCATTGGGATTGATATGCTTCCTGATAACCTCGTCTACAATGCCCGATCGCTTCTGTGGGCGCAGTCAAGTTAAAGCTTGGCCGTTATCGGGTGTGATTTGTCTGATTCAGAAGTTGATAAACCCATTGTGCCGCCTCTGTTCTTGGGGCGCCATTATTCAGTAGCCAGAAGGATACTTACTCGTGTTCTGGTGGGGAGTGTGAGCGAGCACAGCGACCACAATGAATGTGGCCGAATCGCTAGGGCGGGGTCCGTTGGGGAGGTGCCCACCAGCAAGCCGGGGGCTGGTGTAACCAACTGTCCAGCAAGGGACAGACTAAAGAGGAAACTTGGACGGAGCAGCCCTGCTGCAGGCTGACCTTTCATTCTATTAATTTTCCGATTGGATTGGTGGCGCTTAAAGCGGCATCAATCTTCATATCGGCAGTTTCTGAACTCAATTATCTTGGTTGGCCGGTTCGTTAATTCCAGTGGAACAGTGCGCTCGTCAATCGCGATACGTCAAATCACCATACCCTTGAAATGTTTTGTATCCCGCTCTATTGCATCACTCAGTCTTCATCAACGTAGTAATGAAATCGAAACGTTTCTGAAGGCTTCATAAATTATTATTTGGACTCGGGAATACTATCAATAAGCACAACTCCAAGATATTTGGTGAAGTATTCGCTACAAACTATACGCAACTTTGTTTTTGTTTGCGAACTGTTTTTGAATCGCATTATTTTGCTTCAACTCGCGGCTTTCTTCATTCGGAAGTTAAACCCAAACTTATCTCATTAAGTAGTTTCGTCTCATTTGGTATTTGCTGATTTCTCCTTCGCCATCCCGTAGCTGTATCCCATTTGGTAGATGTGCCTCAGTCTCCCTGTTTCAGTAGTTGCATTTCTCCTTCTCTATCCAGTCAGTAGCTGCATCCCATTTGGTATAGTTGTGCCTCAACCTCCCTGTTTTAGTAGCTCGAACTCAGTAGTTTGAGCTATCCAGAGTGAATTTTACTATGCGGTACCATTCGCTCTGCTTCTTTGTGTCTACTTTTCCCTCTCATTTAAAGCTTATCTCTCCAACTTGAGCAAGACCAACCATTTCTTACTGAGAGGCTGCGTCCTGTCCTTTCATTCGTCCGGTCCGGTCCCGTCCCATCCCGTCCCATCCTTTCCCACAACACTGCCGGTCCCTCTGCACCGACTGACAATCTGATACAGGTCGAGCTAACGGTATGCGGTTACATACCCCGGCCGGCTAGACCGATATCCTCTGCCGGGCTGACCGATTCCGTCGGCCAAAGTGACCTTTGACGCTTACCTGACCGCTACTCTGGCTGCATTGACCGATTCCCGCGGCCGGGCTGACCGATGCCGAGCTGACCGATGCCGAGCCACTGCCTGGCTGACCGATTCTCTCTCTCGCGGTGGTGTTCGTCGTCGTCGCTCGCGAGGCACGCGACTCACCTTCGCCATTGATTTTCGGCCGCCCCTCGCGCCGTGTTTCACAGAGAGCACATTATTGGTAGGAGGGCCGGCCTTTGTTGCTCGGCGCGGCGCGCGACGGCGCTCTCTCATGGTGCGATATTGGACTCGAGGCAGGTGAACGAGCCGGCTTATGAGACCGTCGGGGCCCGCGCACCTCCACGAGAGAAGTCCAGTGGCTCCCAATAGCGACATAAAGTTGATATACTGTTGCGGTGCAGATGGACATGTTGCACATTACATGATTTTTAGATGCTTCACATTTTTGTTATACATTAGGCTATCACGTAATACCTGGGCATAGGTTGTTTAGTGATAAACACTATGCGCCGGTCGGTGACTCAGTAATGCATGTACCCATTCGAAGCTCAAAAGTTGAGATACATAAATCAAGAGTTGATTAGGGTGATTATAATCACATTTATTATCCATAGGCTGTTTTGTCGATCGAGGTTTGGCCTTGACCTTTAAGCCGAGTGACCCATTGGATGCCTGACGATTAACGATGACGTGACATTTGAGCTTGCAGCTAGGTGAATGTTAGTTTTATATCCGGCTTAAAAAATTGTCATGCGGAGACCGGCCTTACAAGTGTAGTAAAGTAATCTTGTTACAAGTATCATTTATCGATGATAGATAATAGTGCCGACTTATGGATTTATCTTGCTCTCCGTGCTGATGGCAGTTGAGTCCTTACTCTACTCCCATTGCTATGAAATCGATATTGGATATGCTGCAGGGCTTTTGTAAAGAAGTGATGCGTATCTACATAGGTTTGGAGTAGCCCGTGGCCCGTCTCAACCATGAAAAGTGTCGAGCAAAAAAAAAAGTCGTTAGCACTTGAATTAAACACGGAACTCTGCGCTTAGTTTCAATTAGCCAAATCTGCTCCCTCAAACAGGTGCTTTGTGTGCGCGTTATCGCCCGGTGGTCCGAAGGCTGCACCTAGTTGAACTGGCCGACTTTGCCAGCAGCCGGACGGACCGCCGGCCGGGCTCGCTCGGCGCCGACCGAATGAGCAGGCGCACCACTCCAATTAGTCCGACAGAGGTGTTCCCCTCGTTCGTCGGCGCCGGCATGAGGCACGAAAGGCCGGCGACAGGGCGCTAACTAGCTGCTGAGCGGCGCCGGCCGGCCGACTTCAAAGCGCGCCGGTATACGCTCTGGTTCCGGCGACGTCGCGGCGACGGGCGGAGGTATCAATAGCGGCCATCCACCGGTCGTGTCGTGTGTGTGTGGCAGTGTTTGGAAATGATGGCTCCAGAGTGAAGCTGGCGCTGAATGGAAATGTGACCTAGGAGCTGGGTCAATAAGATCCGGACGCAGTTGGACTAATAACTAGTTGTGAAAACCATGAGCCGACGCCACCAAGGCCATCTATAGAGACGCCACGGACTTCAAAGAAAATCTTGGCTGTAACCTATCTATTGTAGAAGCAGAAAGATACAAACTAATAAGCATAAAGCCTGGCAGTTAAGTGAGTGGATGTTGTTACAACGCTTAGACGAGTTTCCGTCCACCGTGTATCACCTCGCACGTGGATGGATGCCGCAATGGCCTGTCGCCCACCGGGCAGTCTCTCGTCCGGCAATTGGCGCGGATATTATCAAAAGTGGCGCACGTGTGACGATTCATATTGCACATTGCGACGCACGTCCCTGGATCCGGCCGGCGTATCCGGTTTGGCAACGGGAGGGGGGGGGGTCGATAGGAGGGGGGCTCGGGGGATGAACGTCAAGGTGAACACTGAACGATGAGCACTCACTGCTACACGAAAGACATCTAACGCACGCCACCGAGGGGCTAGTACGTTTTAGGTCTTGTATTGATCTGTCAGTCTGTCAGGTATAGCTCCCTGGAACGAAAACCGATGGACTGAGATAACAAGCGTAACTAGAACCAGCTTTTCCTGCTAAATGGCTTCAAAAGTACATACCTAATTTTGGTAAAAAGTTCACGAAGAACATTTGGTGCGCGGGCGATTCTTTGTAGACGTGTGCTCCATGGAGGAGTGACGGAGAGAGTCAAGATGTTGCCGCCTGTCTCCTACCTTAAGAAAATTTAAGAAGGTGTTGTTGTTCCCACTCGTAAGTTGCTGGAGGACAGTTGAGGTCTGCCTTTAAAAAGTGATTGGAAACATATTTTTGTGGTGATTGATCTTTATTACCAGTAAAACGCCTTTTGGGCGAAGAACGAGCGAGCGAGATAGTGAGCCATGCACGTGCAGAAGGGCGAGAGGGTGCTTCCAACGGGCTTGCGCAAGGCACCCTTCAAACCGGTCGCTAGCGGTGTGCCAAATTTGAACGCAATCGGCCCAGCCGTTCCTGAGATCTGGAAGCGGCATTCTGCACGTGCGCACGTGCAAACGGGGTCCAAAATGACTTTTGCACGGCACCCTACTAACTGGTCCCCAACCGTGTACCAAATTTGAGCGCAATCGGCTCAGCCGTTCTCGAGATCTGGAAACGCCCCCTGCACGTGCGCACGTGCAGTAGCACCCTAACCGCAACACATGGGAATGCATTGCCTGGTGGGTACCTACCTGTATGCCAAGTTTCAGCGAAATCGCCCCAGTAATTACCGAGTTACTGAAATGGGAACCAATTTGGCACCTCTTATTGTTGTATTTTGCACGCGCACTGGGGGTGACCCACATGCATCGAGACTATCCTATTTTGGGTAGAAGGGATGCTGCTACCCTACAAAAATTACCGCAAGTCAATCGCCCAAGCGGCTGCTGAGATATGAACCTCTCAAAATCACTACTTTTGCAAAACAGCTTGAACACCCTTGACTTTTCACGTGGCACGTGCCACGACGGTCACTGAGATGTATCAAAAGTAGTCAATTACGGGGTAGAAGGGATGGGGCTACCCAACAAAAAAGACCGCAGGCCAATCGGTCCAGCGGTTGCTGAGATATAAGCCTCTCAAAAGCGTTACAGGCCGGGCCGGGCCGGGCCGGGCCGGGCCGGGCCGGGCCGGGCCGGGCCGCTCATACTGAGATTTTTCCGTTATATTGAAAAGACTCACTTCGCTCGCTGCGCTCGCTCGCTCGTAATAAGACTATGACAGTGAACACCAACAGTCCAACACAAAGGACCCAACATGGCATCTGTTTCAACCTTGCTTCGATTTGCATGCCTACGCTTCTCGACGCTTCAACTTTTATGTCCAGAATCGCATTTTTTTTTTGCAGTGTGTAGCCTCATCGCTGAACCATTTGAGCCTTGCGCAATCTCTAGTCAATAAAATGCCTATAGCTCCAGCGTTACCTAATCACAATGCACGTCCATTGAGCTGTACGTTCATGAAAAAAGGAATAAGACTGAGTCAGCTTACTGCATATGCGTATATAAATTGTCCCACCTGCCGCCCTAGTGCCCTTCAGGTGAGCTGGCTGACGATCCAGTCGATGTAGGACGACACCTTGGTGTAGAGCCCGGGGAACTCGGGGTTGCCGCAGCCGACGCCCGTAGAGACCACGCCCACCAGCTGGTAGGTGTCGTCCGCCAGACGCACCATCAGCGGGCCGCCCGAGTCGCCGCGGCACGCGTCGCGCGGCTCGCCGTCCCGGCTCTCGGCGCACACCTTGGTGCCCTGGAAGCCGCCCGGGAAGCGCGACTCGAACTGCGGCACGCGCCGGTAGGCGGTCTCACAGACGGCCGGGTCGGCCACGCGCAGGGCCACCTCCTGCAGAATGTCCGAGGCGTTCCCACCAAACTCGAGCAGACCCCAGCCGGCCATCTCGACGTCTTGCCCGATGTGTTCAGCGCCAGCTGGTGGTAGACAGATGGGCGATACGTGCTCTGTCAGCTCCACAGGAGTCGCCAGCCGGACCACGGCGAGGTCGTTCTGTGATCCCAGGTACTGCGGGTGGCGCACGACCCTGGAGACGTTCCGCACCTGATGTTCCACCTCAAACTGGAGGTTAAGGTCGTTGTCGCCGATGTGGGTGCCGACGCTACCCGCCTCCTCCGGTCGCAGGCAGTGGGCGGCCGTCAGCACGTGCCGGTCGGTGATGAGGGTGCCTCCGCAGAACCAGTTTCCCAGGCCGTCGTCCGTCCACCGGCCGAACAGCACCATCCATGGCCACTTGCCGAGCTGGGCGTCCACTCCACCCACAGCTTGGACGGCAACGAATTCACCTTCGCCGCTCTCTCCGAGCGCCGCCTGGCGGCGCCTCCTGCCGCCCGTCGGCGGTCCCGGCAGCTGGCCACTTAGCTCAAAACTGGGCGGAGGACCAGTGCTGGGTCGGAAGAAAAACTCCTGGACCCGGGTGTGTCCGCAGGAGATCGGCAGCGGCGAGCGTGTGCCGGTGAGTCCACCGGTCCGGGCCACCGAACAGCACACCAGCGCTGTAGTGCCGATGAACCCGCAGGGCCGCGGCCGGAATCGCAGCACGTCGGCCCGCGTCTGGAACTGCGGGCAGCTAAGGATGCTGATGCACTGCTGGTCGGACTGATGACATCGCGCGTCCTGCTGCGGGAAGGTGAGCGCCCCGCTGATGCTGGCTGCGAAGGCGAGCAGGGCCAGGTAGATCCACCAGAGAGACATGGCGGGAATCCGCGCGGTATGACAACCACCGACCGACTAGCGAGGCTTGCTGATACTAATCTATTCACCGGCCAGGCGGGAAAAATGGCTGCGCGTCATCTACAAACCGGTTCGCATGAGGCCGTCTCTGCAAACGCCACAGAGAACTCGTCAGCTCAGGGCCCAGTTTCACCAAGTGGGGTAATTTCGGCATGGGGTAGATTTCCATTCTACCCCATGGGATAGAATCCAGTTTCACCAGCTCAAACTACCCCAATGGGGTAGTTTCGGCGTCTCTTGTGAATGTTTGCTAAGCAAGCAGCATCAGCGAAACAGCGGAACGTTTTGATTGGTCGAGATTCCGCTGTTGCATTGGGTATGCTTCGTAGAATACAATGTTTATTTTCTTCTTTTGTTTGTGGGCCTAGACAATACAGTGCACAGGTTTCTCATCAAAGGTGAGGCGTTATTCGTGTAATATGTAAATATTTGGATTGTTCTTGTTAATTATAACCTTAAGTTTTATCTTAGTAGTGGTTATTTTGAAGCTTTTTTATACGGTCTTTCTTGATTTTAATTGATTGGGTCTCCAGCCAGACCGAAATGCCTGCCTGTGGAGGAGCTCGCCAACGAAGAGAGGAAAACAAGCTGGAACTTTTCCGGTTCCTAGCTCAGAATAAGTCGGTAAGTAGGTACCAATATTGTAAAAAAGCTTTCTGTATTTTTTTCAATTGAGCTGAGGGACCCAAACCTAGATTGGTGTTTGATTCATCTGTGATTGAATCGATTGGATTGAAAAAATTTAAGTGAACGAATATAGTTCATTATCAACAAATATTAACAATACTGCCATTACACGACAACAAAAAGAACACAACAAATACAATACTATCCCTGATATTTTGTATATTTTATTTTTTAATTGAATCAAAAAAGAATCTTTCAAAAAAAAATTGGCTGAATCAAACATGAATCATTCCTTTTATTGTTTTTTGATTCTCTGAATCAAAAGGAAGCGATTCACCAAATTTGTTGAAGGAATCAAACGGTGATTGAATCAAACAAAAATCAAATGAAGCAATGATTGAATTGATCCAAAAAAGGTGAATCAAAAACCAGTCTGGACCCAAATAACTGAACACATGACTATGCAAATAACGAAGCATAAAGCAAATTTAGATTAGACAGTTAGTGGGGAATTGTGCAATTTTCACAAAGCTCTGGCCAGTGCAACTGTAACTACATTATCTTTAAACTGTATCCCCTAGTGGGGTAAAGCGGGGTTGCTAAGAAATGTCCCAAGCCTGCATGTAATTGGCCATAGCGCCCATAGGGATCTCCAAGTAAATGACAAATAGAAAGGTCCATGTATTAGCTCTAACTTTCCTTTGATGACTTGTCATTGTCTGGTATAAAGTGGTGAAATTTGACCATGATTTTAAAAAATTGTAGGGCAAAGTGAACCACTGTCCACTGTTGGTCCACTTTGCCCCATTTAACCAGAATAATGGTTGCCCTCCTAAATCACTGTATCTACATTGTTCTGAGGCTCGTAAACTATTAAGTGAAAATATTGACAGTGAGTCAATATTTTCATGCTGAAAAATATTGACTCACTGTCAATATTTTCCAGCAAATATAAAATATTGACAGTTAAATAGGCACTTCCAGCATTACAGTAATTAACATATGGTCAACTAAATCCTTTTTCAAATTTTTGCTTGACCACACATTGCTTAGATTATAGAACATGCGATAAATCATGATTGCTTACAGCAATTACAACCCAATTACAGCCATACAAATGCATGTCCAGAGCACAGACATTCATGAAGATAATGGCATATACCTATATGGTAATTATGATGACATTTTTATAACACTCAAATTAGCAGGAAAATTAGAAAAACATTTATGCTCAATAGCGAAGGAACTCGCCCGGATCAGGCTGCCGCTGATCCGGGAAGTGCGTGGATGGGAAACACTTCTAATGGCTATCTAAAAGAATGGACGGCGCTTCTAATGCGTACAACAGGGTGGGTGGTTCGCTTTGCCCCAGTGGTTCGCTTTTCCATATCAGCGTAACAGATATGGAAAGGTGGAGTGAACCTCTGACAATGTGACCCGTGGCGTCACTGGGGTCACAAGCGGTTAATCGACGTTTTCGCCAAACAACTTATACCAGATTGAGCAATGAGCAACAGAGCCGGGAGAGACTTAATGTCTTCGCAATGACCTACGACGAACTAGTGTCTTCTCAGTTATTTATAATACTATCCTCGATGATATAGCTTACATCACGGTGCGAACTGAGTCGGCGACCCTGTGGAACCGGAGGCCATGTTTCAGGCACCACCACCGCATCTTCAACTGGCCGAAGGCCTGCTCGACGCAAACTCGAGTCCTGCAGTGGGCCTTGTTGTACCTGCAACAGAAATGAAGCATTTTATAAATACATCCCAACGAGCAAGTAGCAGAGGCGTGACGCATCACATTTCATTGATAAGCTAGAATGTGGTCATGCTTCCGGTGCTCGACAATACGGTAATTGTTAGTGGGTCAAGGGGCGCCTGGCGGGTGTGCGTGGGGGGGGGGGGACAGTTATTCAGATTTTATGCAGACAACACTCTTTGTGGTGCATGTTTTTTCTCCAACGACTCTTGGTTGTCTCGCGCAATGACTGTATAATGGCGGAAACACTAGTGCTATCTACATTTCTACGCATACGGTAACAACGAACAGTGTTTATATCGAGGTTCATTTACGTTAAATCGATATTAATAATACCTCAATATCAACATTAATTGGCGACATGGTACATGATATGAAACGTGGAATCGTGCCAGCATAGCAAACACTTGCCTCTCCTCCGCTGCAGTCCCGGGATGGTTGATGGGAGTCAGCAAGTAACGCCGACTCGGATAGGCACTGTCCCCGAGCAGAACGCCTCCACCAACCGGCACCAGAGAGTCGGTCTCCAACCTGAAATATAAGTAATTGAAGGCGATTGTCACAAACTTTACTTGCAAGCTTATCTATCTACTCTTTTAGCTCGGTGATATGGTCACTAGAGGCCAGTTCACGTCCCTATGGGATCCGCGGATTTCGCTATACACGCACAAAACTGCCGAGGGTGGCCAAAATACCTAACCCAAAGCGAAGGTTAAGCAGTGCACGCCTCGTGAAAAATGTGCACGCCTGTGCACGCCTGTTGAAACCAAATTAACTGTTTGTTTTTGAATATATTTGATTTGTACTATTTGGTTTATTATTTACATCATTATCCTAACTTGCATGACTCTAATATAGTAGTGAAGCTGACGTGTTTCAATAATACACTTAGTTCATATTGGCTTACTTTTCAACAAGTCCAGAGGTCGCCAGCACCCTTGAGTCGTGTTGGCGACCTCCAGCATGGGCGCTCACGCACAGGAAGCGGCCATCTGCGCCAGCCACGGCCATGACATTTAGTGACGTCCTCTGGTGCCGGTTGATGTAGGCGTTCTCCACGTCAGTGGGGACCCGCAGGTCGATGTGGCAGCCATCGATGCAGCCTGTAGATCACACACCACACATGCACATACAGTTATCTCAATTATCTATTATTTATCTATTAGTTTTCTCAATCCATTACAATACTGTATGTTAGGACAATCAGCTACATAAAACCATGGAGCTTCTTTCCTTGCTGGCTTTGTTGAAATATGCAATGGTTTTATGTTAGTTTTTGTTGGCTTCAACATCTTTACAATGAAAGCATGCACAGCATGTTCTTTGACAAAAACTTAACACTAAATCTCATTTATCTGAATCCAGCACTGGGACATGGCACCTTCCTTTTAAAACGCTGTGCTCCTGTTAACACTGCGGACTTACCAATGACATTTGGCAGCCCTGCTTTCCCATGGAACTGTGCCTGGAGGGCACGGGTCGCCTCATGAGTGTTGGGGAAAGCTATAAGTCCCATCAACCGATTCACAATCGCTTCCACGGCCCTGTGCACTGCGCGGTACACCGTGGCTTTGCTTGGGCCGTGCGCATCACCCACTACGTGGTAGAAACTTCCTGTTGCCAGGAAGCTGAAAAAGACGGATGGGTTCCAATAGGATCAGTACCTAATGAAAAATTACCTTGCTCACAAGGCCATTTCCTACATAAGTTACATAATGTCCTTAGTCTCATGTCCTGAGATTTATTTTGCAACTGCATAATCAAGGCCATGGCTGAACTTGTTGAGAAAGCACAATATACCCTCAGATGCATGTTGGCACAAATTCTGTGTTTACTGTTGTCTTAACAAAAGTTGTCACTAGCACACATTCCATCACTTGCCATCTGGCAGCCACTATCACCTTAAGTGTTAAAAAGCAGGACAATGCTATTGCACCCACCGTAGTGTCAGGAGTAGTTGTTGTTTGGGAGTGAGGGCGTGATTTCTATCGGTGTCGTGCGCCAGGTCGTCACCGATGAAGTGGAGGATTTTCTCCACTACAGCTCGCTCCAGACGAAATCTCTCCCTGAAATTGATGACAGATTTTGAACAGCTCCATTGTTGCTATCAGGGCTCCTTATTGTAATAGCAACCTGAAATGCCGTCAATAATCTATGGCAGCTACAGGCATTCGCTCCAAGAGGACACTTTAAATAACTTCTTTCCAGAAATTCAGATTAGGTACAAGCTTACATTTCTGCAAGATCATGATATCTGTTATCAGTACAGTTCAAATATGAACTATCAATAATTTCAGGACCTATTAACCACTGTTGGCAGGGTCCTGCCACCTTTTACTATCTTCACCTCAGACAATCATTACACTTATGAATTATGATGTGTAGTAGCAAACAACAAAAAAAGCATGCAATCACATAGTGGCGGCAGAACACATTTAATTAGGAGGGGGGGGGACTGCTAACTTTTGGTGCCATTCTTACAATGCAACGCCCATAGGGCTTATGTTAAAATGCCAAAATCAAAGGGGGCACGGTGCCCCCGCCCCCATTCCGCCGCCTATGCAATCACATACAATTTACAAAGGTATCAGTGACAGTTCATGTGTAAATGAAATCCAAATGGTAGGCCTAGGCTGGTAGGTTGGTAGGCTGTAGGCATGTCAATGTATGTTATAGGCTGGTAGGCTGTAGTTTGGTAGGCAGGTCAAGTTAGATTGTTTTTTATCTTCCTCGGACCATTTGGACTTCATCTACACATTCACCGCAGTCAAACATGCACAAGAACATCACTGAAGAATACTTAGCTTTAGGAAGTCATGGGAGATCATTTCATGTGTGTAAGATTTAGTCACTCATTCTGTGATAATCCCCCAACTTTCCTCATATTGCAACAGAACAACTTCAACCAAATCAGACTGTATTATATATGCAACAACTCCCGGCATTCCAATTTGAACAGTTTGTTAAGGTACATAACTTAACTATAGCACCATAAAATGCATCAAAAGCATTTGATTTATAATTGTATTCTTCACTAACATTTCAGTGACATACTGATACATTCTAAACTAAATACTTCACTAACATTTCAGTGACATACTGATACATTCTAAACTAAATAATATAAAACCTACGACATGGTGGTAAGATCAGTATTAAACATGAAAGACACCCTGCGTCAGCCACCCATGTCTAAAAGCATTTCAGGAATTTGTACGAAAAAACCATAAGCATTTAGTATGCGCCATGCCCGATGCCACCGGATAATGAGCACGATGATCCAAAGTTCGAGCATTTGAGCATATTGACTGCTTGATACCACTTGCTCGGATGATATATTGAATCAAACATAGTTCATTCGAAGTGTTTAAACTGCACCGGGCATATTAATGCAAGCTGAGGCTCCGTAACTTCGGATTCGAATAGATCAAATGGCGACCAAACGAAACAGCCACGGCACTGGCCACTAGAATGAGCTTGAGTCTGACGTCTGTCTTATTTACATTTCAAGGTTTTAATAATCATCATCTAGTAGCCAAGGTCACTTTAAAGGAAAACCTTCAGTAGGTGAAAAGGCATTTTACTTTCAATTAAGAGCGACATCTACATAAAGTGGTTGGTACCTGGCCTATCGTAGGTGGCGCAAGCTTCGTACATAGGTGGCGTGGCGTAGGTACATTCATGCAAGAAAATTAGTGAAAATTTGCAGTATGCGGCAATATACTGAAATACTTACCTGAACTTAGTGGGTGAAAGGTCTTCGTCGCCATTTATTCTTGGTCGCACCACACGATTCATCACGAAACGTATCGCTCATCACAGATTACCCCACGAATGTCAGCCGTAATTTTGGTCGGATATTTGGGGTAGAACCCAAGGGCGGATCTAGGGGGTCGTTTTGGGGGGGGTCACCAGTCGGCCGACATACCAGGTCTGGTGAATGAATTCTGACGACCGGGGGGGGGGGGGGGGTAGGGAGCGAGTATGTCGAGATCAAAAAATGACATTTGATCTTCGTCGTTTATAAGATGAAGTTTTATCGTAAGTCACTCGGCTCAGTAGTTTTAGTTAGTGAAACCCACCTATATAGGAGCGTCGCCACGGAATTTTTACTGGGGGGGGGGGGGGAGGCGGGTCGACCGACTTAAAAACCCAGAAGTAGATATAGTTACCTCACTTTTAGCCTAATGCATTAGTAAATAGTAGCATACAGTCACGATCTCTCTTATTGACCTGTGTATGAATCGGCGGCGCGAAGCGCCGCAAAAATTTGCAAAAAAAAAGTTGTCAAAACACAGCTCTAAAACACAAATATTACAACCTTTTTAGCATGCTAGTACAAGCCGGAGTTCCTTCACAGTACACATATGAATTCCGATTCAATTTGACACGGTTGGTGTTATTACAGTCACTGTTATTTCTCTCTTATTGATTGGTGTATAAATCGGCGGCGCGAAGCGCCGAGAAAATTTGCAAAAGAATGTGTCGAAACACAGCTCCGAAACACAAATTTTACCACCCTTTTAGCATTGCAGTACAAGCCGGAGTTCCTTTACAGCACACATATGAATTCTGATTCAATTTGACACGGTTGGTTTATGTAATTACAGTCAAGATTTCGTATTGACCTGTACGTATGTACATAAATCGGCGGCGCGAAGCGCCGCGAAAAATTTGCAAAAACATTTGTCAAAACACAGAGGGGGCCTCCTCTCTACAGAGGACCACCGATCTCTACTGCGGGCCTCCTCTTTTCACAGGGCCTCTTAACTACAGAAGCTACAGGGCCTCCTCTCTACAGAGGGCTTCCTCTCTACTGAGGGTCTCTCCCTTTAAGAGGGCCTCCTTTACAGAGGGCCTCCTCTCTTCAAAGAGCCAGAGGACCTCATCTCTGCAAAGGGCCTCCTCTCTTCAGAGGGCCTCTTCTCTACAGAGGGCCTCCTTTCTTCAGAGGGCCTCTTCTCTACAGCGGGTCTCCACTCTTCAGAGGGCCTTCTGCATTCAGGCGGTCTCCTTTCCACAGAGGGCCTCCTCTCTACACAGGGCCTCCTCTCTACATAGAGCCTTCTCTCTACAGCAGGTCTCCTCTCTACAGAGGGCCTCCTCTTTAAAGGGGTCTCCTCTCTACAGGGGGCCTCCTCTCTACTGAGGGCCTCCTTTCTACAGAGGACCTCCTCTACAGAGGGCCTCCTACCTACTGAGGAGTCAGAGGGGCCCTAGCGGTCAGACACAGACACTAGCGGTTATTCACTGGAGGCCCCAGGAAGTAAGAAGGGCCCTAGCTGTCAGGCTGGTCAGAGGGCCCTGAATGTCCTGACGTGATTTTTGGGATTCCCGTGAATTTCTTTCGCCTCAGACGTGATTTTGACCTGCCAGGGCCCAGGGGCACTAAAAATAAAACAAACAAAATAAAAAATGAAAATAGGACATCACCAAAATTAAGTGACCGAAATCCGTTGAGTTTTTAATTTTGCGTATAGGTAGGGGCACCACGAATTAAATTCATGACCATCCCCTTGGAGTTTTCCTGGATCATCCCCTGGTGCTCGCACGGTTGAGACAAAAACGAGTAAGATTCTGGTCTTCAATACGCCTTTTCACGCAACACGATCCAGAAAAACAAAGGTATTAGCTCAGAAGTGTTTGACAGGTGATTTTGAGCATGCAAGACGGCGTCTATAGCGCATTTAGGTCTTCGGCTTTTGGGGGGGGTCAAATGACCCTCTCAGACCTTTTGGGGGGGGTCATGACCCCGTGGACCCCCCCCAGGATCCGCCAGTGGTAGAACCGACGATAATCAGCTGATTGATTGGCTTGTTCAGTTGCTCACGGACCGTGAGCATCTGTTTGCATGGCAAATTTGGGGTAAAATAAGAACTGCCCCATGGGGTAGTTTGGAAGTGGCCAATCAGAACCTACCCCATTTGGTGAAACTGGTTTGGGGTAGTTTCGCCGAAACTACCCCAAACAGAGCTTGGTGAAACTGGGCCCAGGAGACTCGTGTAGATTCTGAAGCGATTTCCAGTTTATGCAGGATATGATCTTTGCGCAAGATCCAGTGTTAAACCGCGCCCCGTTGAGGTCTAGCAGGGTCCAGGTCCTGTTCGGGAGGGGCGGGGGGGGGCAAAGGGCCCCGTCTTATCACCGGAACAAATTGTCTTGATTACAAAAATTCAGTCATCATTCAAAAGGGCTTAAAAAGATGCACAAGAAACGACATCGGTGACCTTGATATTTTCCCTGTAACGTCACAGGGAGGTCAAAAAAGGTTAAATTTGTAAAATTTACAATGAAGAGAATTCGGTCGTAAGAAAAGATATCTACCATCTAGGTCTCTAAAATGGGTCTAGATGCGATGTACATTGTACAGGGTGTCCTAAAAGTAAGGTCATGATTTAAAACTTAAATATCTCGAGAAGTAAGAGTCCGAATCACTTCCAATTTTAACACGTGCAAGGTACATCCATAAAATTATTTTCTTGCATGCTTAAACCATTTTTGATCATAACTACACCGAGCAAGAGGCATAAAACTGAGAAGGTCGAAATTCAACTCTTAGAGAGGGTACGTCATTAAAACAAAGGGTAAATACCGCCCAGTTTTCGGCCCTAAGCAGACCCTATCAGCTCGCCCTATCTCTGAACTTATGCATAGTTTCGCCTCAACCGGTAAAACGTCAGAAAAAAGGTAAAATGTACGCACAGGGCATGTATACTTAGCCACCTGTGCTTCGAGGTCCTGAGGACGACAGCGGGAATCGGGTGAAAATAAATCAAGAGAGGTGGCCGAGAGTCCTCCCAGTGGTTCTTCCGCTCGTCGCAACGCAGCTGTGTCGACACCATCAACCAGCAGTGGTTTCAGCAGGATGGAGACTATGCTTGCACCGTCCTGAAGATCATGCATTGTCTCCGAGGGTGGATGTGAGATCGCGTAATTTTCAGTCAGGGCAACGCCATTGAATGGCCTCCGCGGTCACCTGACGTTACACCCTCATATTTTTATTCTCTGGATACGCAACGGAAAGGTTGTCTTTAAGGACAACCCAACGAGCCGGGAAGAACTAAAGGATGATCCCTCCGAGCAAACATAAGCGGCATCTCACCAGAGAATCGCTCCAGAATAGTGGAGGAAGTAAAACGCAGTCTATTCGTGCACGCGGCCCGAAATGGTAGCCATGCAGAAAAGCAGCAAATGTGGGGCTACGAGCAAATGTATTGACTCATATGTATATCAGAATAAAATTTTATAAAATGCTCTTTCATATGATGTCTAATTTATATCTATCCATCGCGTATTTTTGGCGGTGTGGCCAAAACAAATGGTGACCTTACTTTTGGGACACCCTGTATATCATAGATCTGACATAAACAGCGTGTGGGACAGCCACGGTGCAACCTGGTCCAACGTTAACGTCTTGTGGGGGCATGGGACCTCCACAGAGGCGGCACCAGCCCGGCGGTCGCGGCCCATACAACTCGTCCACACTATGATGTCACAGGATTTAAAAGAGGTAAAATTGTACCGTTTTACGATGACAAACAATTTGTCACATAAAAGTGACTTTCATTAGGTACGTAAAAGACAGCGCTCATATTTAGTTAGGAAGAGATAGATAAGCACAATAGATATTGTCCTAGGCTGATTTTAACTGCAAATTCGAAAAAAAATGTGGCGTCATAAGAAGCCGCTATTATTTTTCGTCTTTCAAATGGCTATATCTCTGGCAGTCTTTGAGACAAGGCCTCGTCTAACATGTTTACTGGGGGGGCCAAACCCCCGCAGTCATCGACCTGGCCCCCCCAGTCAGGGCAAAAAGTCCCTACTGGGGGGGGGGGGGGGGGCCGGCAATAGTCAAAAGGCAAACGAATTTTTATTTCGAGGCGTGGGTGCACATAAAAGCAAATGCTTAAACGAAACGATGCAATGTGAGCACATTGAAATACCCCATTACCTAGGGCTGTTATGTGTTTATTTTGTTTACCTGAACCATTTTTTTTCGCTGAGCAATACGTTCCATTTCGTCTTTTCAGGCGCCCAACTCCGTGTCCCGGACATTCTTTTTTCATTAATTTAGTCCGAACCTTTTGAATGGAAGGATTGACAAGTACAGAGCCCCCGCTAAGCAGAGCTTTGCGTTGGCCCTGCCCTCTACCCTCCGATCGCGCAATTCGTGATCTATGACAGAATTTAGAGCCCAAAGGTTCGTATGCACATAGCCGCGCACGGCCGGTCCCCTCACTGACTTCGAATGGCTACGGCCTGCCACCAACCGTAACCATACTCGCCAGGAGGCTCATAAAGATCGAGCGATGTCGCGCTTTGAACCTGGACTGTTATAACCGGGACGCGTGCCCTCACCACGCGGAGTCCAAGGCTCCACCGGCAAAAATTTCTCCTTTATGTATCACTCTGTTGTTTCTGTCCTCGGGGCGTCAATCCCTTGTTTTTGCCTATCGTCGTCCTCGCTATGCAGCGTCCAACTTCTGGCTGGACGGTCACCGGTGTGCGGCTAGAGTAGCTCCTAATCGTAATGAAGCAGGCTCCCGTTCTGGGTGGTCGTACGTAGGCGCAGATGCCAGGTTGGTGGTCTGTCTGTGGGGACGGGAACTCTGACAGCTGGATTATCTAAAGAAGTCGGCATGGAGTCCTGGAGGGCAAATGCCAGCCACTTCAGGTCCCAACGGGCCTCAAAGCACTACTATCTTCATTTTTGTTTAGTTTATAGCCTCTGACGACCTTAAGGTTGTGTCGAAGATCCACGGCGATTACGGAGAATCCACCTGAGAAGCCATCAGTCTCCAAGTTGATACACAGGCATTACACTGGTCTGAGGGGCCCTAGTGGGAAAATACGGTCTCCACTCAGATTGACCCTTAAAGCCTGGTATGGATCATATAAAACCAGTGTGGGCTACCATAGAGGCCGACGTAGGTCCAGAAGCTGGCATTAGCCCTCAGAGATCGGCATCGAGCGCTCAGAGGGACCCATCAGAAACTGATGTGGTTCTAAAAAAAATGCGTATTGGCCCTCGACATAGGCTCGGCATGCAAATTCCTTAGACACGGCACTGCCACTCAAACACACGCTCAACAACGAGAAGTGTGATTATTATTGTCTGATGAGGCAATGTGAGGAGGCTATAAACTAATATACAAGAATGGGTCGGATGGCCTACTATTTTTTTTTTAGTAAAAAGAAATATTCATGGTGTCAGGGCTGTGATGAAAAATAAGTGGTCTAAATCCGGTGAGAAAACAGGATTTGCGGGTACCCTAGGTTTGGCTCCTTCAGTCTCTGGCCCCCCTAGTGAAAATTCCTTAGACGAGGCCCTGTACTGGAGACCAAAAGAGATTATGAGTTCAGAGTTGTGACAAATACCTAAAGCAACCACCACGTATGATGTATGCATTAACAGTTAACTATCAGATTGACGGCATATGTGTCAACAAATAACAATTATACCCTGATAGAAGACCGGAGGCTCTGGTTACCCATGTAAAAATGAATACTTCAGACGCGTACCGCGTAGGAATTCAGCCCAGTATCGTTGAACAGATAGTGCATCGGCCTGAAAAAGTACGGTAACGATACCTAATTTTGGGTTTTTAGTCCGCCGATCCGTCCCCCCTGTCGAAAATCTGTGGCGACACCCCTGGCACGTAGGACAAAAGTACGTATCGCAAATGTTAGTACAGTATAAAGTACGCATGGACAAAACTACGTCAAGGCAAAAGTACGCATGGCAAAAGTACGTACAGTATAAAGCACGAATGGATAAAAATACGTCAAGGACAAAAGTACGTATCGAAGAAGTACGTATAGGTGCATTATTAAGTACGCATGGACAAAAGTACGTCAAGGACAAAAGCACATATCGTTAAAGTGCGTACAGCATAAAGTACGTGTGGACAAGAGTACGTCAAGGGCAAAAGTACGTATCGCAAAAGTACGTCGAGTTTTAAGTACGTATGGAATAAGTACGTCAAGGACAGAAGTAGGCGTATCCAAAAGTACGTCAAAGAAGAAAATACGCATCGAAAAAGTACGTAAATTTTAAAGTACGTATATCGCTAAGGTACGTACCCTTGCTGACTTGCATAGCTGTCGCAATCGGTCGCAACTACAGCGAGACATGCAGTGCAAACGGTAGCAGACAGCAGTAGTTTCCCCTACCAAAGTGGTGGTTTTCTACCACAGACGCTCGTCGAGGTCGGAATTTCCAAATACGCCATAGAACCAGTTTTACGGCTCACCAAGATGCATGCACATCAATCTGTAACGCTTAAAAAAATAACTGTATTGAGTCAGAGCTTCCACTTATACCCCACCTGCCGCCCTAGTGCCCTTCAGATGAGCTGGCTGACGATCCAGTCGATATAGGACGACACCTTGGTGTAGAGCCCGGGGAACTCGGGGTTGCCGCAGCCGACGCCCGTAGAGACCACGCCCACCAGCTGGTAGGTGTCGTCCGCCAGACGCACCATCAGCGGGCCGCCCGAGTCGCCGCGGCACGCGTCGCGCGGCTCGCCGTCCCGGCTCTCGGCGCACACCTTGGTGCCCTGGAAGCCGCCCGGGAAGCGCGACTCGAACTGCGGCACGCGTCGGTAGGCGGTCTCACAGACGGCCGGGTCGGCCACGCGCAGGGCCACCTCCTGCAGAATGTCCGAGGCGCTCCCGCCGAACTCGAGCAGACCCCAGCCGGCCATCTCGACGTCTTGTCCGATGTGTTCGGCGCCAGCTGGTGGTAGACAGATGGGCGATACGTGCTCCGTCAGCTTCACTGGAGTCGCCAGCCGGACCACGGCGAGGTCGTTCTGTGATCCCAGGTACTGCGGGTGGCGCACGATCCTGGAGACGTTCCGCACCTGATGTTCCACCTCAAACTGGAGGTTAAGGTCGTTGTCGCCGATGTGGGTGCCGACGTTACCCGCCTCCTCCGGTCGCAGGCAGTGGGCGGCCGTGAGCACGTGCCGGTCGGTGATGAGGGTGCCGCCGCAGAACCAGTTTCCCAGGCCGTCGTCCGTCCACCGGCCGAACAGCACCATCCACGGCCACTTGCCGAGCTGGGCGTCCATCCCGCCTATGGCAAACATAATGTTTTTATCTTCGAGCTCTGGGCCCGGCATGAACGGCAAAGGTCGGAAGAAGACCTCCTGGACCCGGGTGCGTCCGCAAGAGGTCGGCAGCGGCGAGGGCGTGCCGGTGAGTCCACCGGTCCGGGCCACCGAACAGCACACCAGAGCTGTAGTGCCGATGAACCCGCAGGGTCGCGGTCGGAATCGCACCACGTCGGCCCGCGTCTGGAACTGCGGGCAGCTGAGAATGCTAATGCACTGCTGATCGGACTGAGGACATCGCGCGTCGTGCTGCGGGAAGGTGAGCGCCCCGCTGATGCTGGCTGTGAAGGCGAGCAGGGCCAGGTAGATCCACCAGAGAGACATGGCGGCGATCTGCGCGGGATGACAACCACCGACCGACTGGCGAGGCTTGCTGATGCTTAGATATTCACCGGTCAGACGGGAAAATAGCTCCGCGTCCTTTGCAAACCGGTTCACATGAGGCCGCCTCTGTGAACGCCACAGAGAATTCGTCAGCTCGGGAGACTCGTGAAGATGCTGAAGCGATTTCAATTTTGTGTAGAATATGGTATTGGCGCAAGATCCCATGTTAACGCCACGACCTACACCACTCATGGAAATTAAAATTATTTACTTGCAACGTTTAACAGAAACATGTGTAATGTGTATTTACCCGGGTGATAGATCTATATCTCTGCAGATCTGAAAACAAACAGTAAACTAAACAAGGATATATCATATATCTATTGCGAGTTGCAACAAGTAGTTCTTGAATATTTCTGAAGTACATATGTCGACGAAAAGTGAGTAGGGATCTTAGATCTTGCCCGATATCTGGACAGTGACTGGATTTGGATTTATGATCCCAATGGATTTCTCCAGAAAAATAAGTTGCGTATATGATCCATTGGATACGAAATCAATTCCCAGGGGATGATCTCAGATTTATTTTTTCAAATAATTGCACATGTTTGGAACACGCATCGCGAGTCGCGCATGCGGTAAGCTGAGATGTGATGCCCTTCCCGCCCTTCCGGAGAATGTGATGTCCTTATTGAATTTCATCATGCTAGCTCGTCAAAGAATGTTATATTGATCCGAACCAACTAGTTGCTAAGATGTTTCTATAACAGGTAATGTACACGGGAATGACTGGAACACCAACACAGGATAACAGAAAATGCATTTCTAATCAATTTTGTCGCGCATGGGTTATTCGCTCAAACGAATTAATCAGCCGTTTTAATGTCAACGACCGCAAGTATTACTGTCACTGGCAAGTACCTCATCACTGGCTCAGTGGAGCCCTGAGGTTTCTAGTCGATGGAATGCCCATTTTCGTAGATCCAGCTTTACCTCGCCACATGCACATCGATCTGCAACGCTTATGAAAAAGAAGTGTATTGAGTCAGAGCTTCCACTTATACCCCACCTGCCGCCCTAGTGCCCTTCAGATGAGCTGGCTGACGATCCAGTCGATATAGGACGACACCTTGGTGTAGAGCCCGGGGAACTCGGGGTTGCCGCAGCCGACGCCCGTAGAGACCACCCCCACCAGCTGGTAAGTGTCGTCCGCCAGACGCACCATCAGCGGACCGCCCGAGTCGCCGCGGCACGCGTCGCGCGGCTCGCCGTCCCGGCTCTCGGCGCACACCTTGGTGCCCTGGAAGCCGCCCGGGAAGCGCGTCTCGAACTGCGGAACGCGCCGGTAGGCGGTCTCACAGACTGCCGGGTCGGCCACGCGCAGGGCCACCTCCTGCAGAATGTCCGAGGCGTTCCCGCCGAACTCGAGCAGACCCCAGCCGGCCATCTCGACGTCTTGTCCGATGTGTTCGGCGCCAGCTGGTGGTAGACAGATGGGCGATACGTGCTCCGTCAGCTTCACTGGAGTCGCCAGCCGGACCACGGCGAGGTCGTTCTGTGATCCCAGGTACTGCGGGTGGCGCACGATCCTGGAGACGTTCCGCACCTGATGCTCCACCTCGAACTGGAGGTTGAGGTCGTTGTCGCCGATGTGGGTGCCGACGTTACCCGCCTCCTCCGGTCTCAGGCAGTGGGCGGCCGTGAGGACGTGCCGGTCGGTGATGAGGGTGCCGCCGCAGAACCAGTTGCCCAGGCTGGCGTCCGTCCACCGGCCGAACAGCACCATCCACGGCCACTTGCCAATCTGAGCGTTTTCCCCGCCAACGGCGAACGCACCTGCGCCGTCTCCTCCGAACTCAGACATGCTCGGAGTAAGAATCGTGGTCGGAGCACTGTGTGAACGGAAGAAGAACTCCTGGACTCTGGTGCGTCCGCAGGAGGTCGGCAGCGGCGAGGGCGTGCCGGTGAGCGGGCCGGCGCGGGCCACCGAACAGCACACCAGCGCTGTGGTGCCGGAGAACCCGCAGGGCCGCGGCTGTAGCCACAGCACGTCGGCTCTCGTCTGGAACTGCGGGCAACTGAGGATGCTGATGCACTGCTGGTCGCGCTGGGGACACCACCCGTCGTGCTGCGGGAACGTCAATGCCCCGAGGATGCTGGCTGCGAAGGCGAGCAGGGCCAGGTAATTCCACCAGAGAGACATGGCGACGATCCGCGCGAGATGAGTCACCAACTGACTGGCGACGTTTGATGCTGCTTATATATTTACCGGGCAGACGAAAAAAAGGTTCCGCGTCATCTGCAAACCGGTTCACATGAGGCTTTTATCGCAAACACCGCAAAGATCTCTCGTCATCTCGGGAGGCTCCTGTACGGGATGGGATGGTTAGATTGAGATAAACGGTGTTCTTCGATTCAAATGATGACTGTCGATGGACCAAACGAGTAGCCAAAATAATGTTAAAATGAGGACAACATCATCGTTTTCCAATATTCGCACACCTTGTACCCTCTTTTTGCCGTAACAACCTTCTCCAGCGAACTCCTGAACCTGACGCACAAATGCTTCACGACAGCTAAGTCTATATTTTCTTCATTGTGCCTCGTTCAGAGCCTTCTTATAGTGGTGAGGATATCCTCTCAACTTTGCTCCAGACAGAAGCGATCTTGTCTTGCCGATCTTGTCGGATATCCTCTCAACTTTGCTCCAGACAGAATAGTCGAGGGGGTTGAGATCTGGGGAGTTCAGCGGCCAGAACACCTTGGTCAACGTTCTGTGCATGTGCTGCTGGCACCACTCCTGCGTCTCTTCTGCTGCATGCGTGGGTGCCGAGTGTTGCTGGAAGACATATTTGCATCAAACCAACGTTGCAGGTACTTGGGCCACAGAGCGTACATACAACAAACATAACAAACGTATGGTACGGAGCTTCGCCCTTCCACCGAACTCGCCAAGGGGCGCACACGCTGCGCCGGGCGGCAAGTGCTTCAGAGACGATCCAGGAGAAACCTTGGCCTGCCGCTGACATGCGAGTGGTCAAGGCCCATTGTGCGGTGGTGGCTGGTGCCCCAAGCGTGGTGCTCCCCCAAGCCCATTGTGTGGTGCTGCGGCTATGATCGAGCTCCCCATTGATCTATTTCCTAAAGCCAGGGCAGCACCACAGTCTCCGTAAATCCCAAATAGACGTTTGTGTTTACTTTTCCTTTTCTTTAAGCAGCCCCATCGAGTTCTTCCTCGACCAGCTCCTGGAACTGTCGCAGGAGCGCTGGTGTTCCATTCTTTCCAGGTCCCGGTTCACAGGTCAGGGGTCACCTTTTCTTGATCTTTGGGATCATCAACACCCTGCTGTTCTCGCACACGCCTCGGTATGCACTACGCCGTGCTCCTTGGGACCTGCGGAAATTCGATTCTCTCCGCCGGATATCTTTCTGCGCTCAGCGCCTAGAGCAAGGTTGCTGGCGATGGTCGCATTCAGCTCCACGGCAAAACGTGAGTTGACCTAACAGCTGAAGTCAGTCCCGTTGCAATTACATTTAAATAATTTACGAGTGTTGCAACCAATCGAATTGGAATGATAGCTATGACACTATGGCAACTTCAAATTTGCTCCAATTTGTTCATCCCACCATGCTTATGCTGAAGCGATTTCCAGACAGGATGTTATTTGCGCAAGACCCAATGTTAACGTAAAATGCCGAAATTATTGCCAGGGTTTAGGCCTTATAAGGCAGATAAAATGAAAACGACACCCATGGGTGTGGTGGGTGGTCACATAACTACAGTGAGTGGCGCTTGCAATTGCATTGCATATGGTATATTGCATCGCATATTGTATACGTAGAAGTTATTTCACAACTACCTTGAACTCATATTACTACAAGCACAGGCTAGCGAGACGTAGTTTACTATTGCCCGTTCCACTGAAGTTAGGCGGTGCGGGTAATTTCCTGTAGTTGGGTGATTGCGTTGCCAATCTCTTTTTGTCCTGAACAGCCTCGTTTCTGGTGGATTTGTTAACACTGAAGGTGCCCAAGATTAATAGGTACATACAGTAAAAAAAGAACGAACAGGGACTCGGAAAACTCCCAGTCTAAAGCATTCCTGCACAGTATGTGCGCCTTTTTCTCTGAGACGCTTCCGTGGGACTTGGCGAGAGCCAAGGCCGCCAGAATAGCACTGCCACTACCGGCTATCCTCTGAAGTCTTTTTTGGGGAATATTTGTTTCTGGTCCCTAAAAAGCTGTTTCTGGCACCTAATTGCTGATCAGCCCCAAAATGCTTATTCGACCCTAATATCTGAATCTGGCACCTAATTGCTTCCACACAGCCTTAAGTTGCCAAATCGTCTAGTTGAACTCCGTAGTTGCTGTTTGCTGATTCAGCACCAAAACCAAAACATCCAGCACCTATTTTATTCCACGTTTGCCTACCTAATTCGCGTAATCTTCCTGATTTTATGTATCCTAACAACATGAACGTTGCATTCGGTGATGTCAAGTGCCATTTTCGCCAGTGGAGATAATGATTAATGCCATTTCTAGCCAAAAGAGAATCACTAGCCAGCTATGGTGCAGCATAGCAAGACGCTCCTATACCAGCCCGCTATGTAGAGACTAGAGATTATTGCACCCTCAGCCATTTTAACGTGAAAAGTTTGGATCCGTCACTTCCAGCCAGGCTCTCAGGTCATAAACTGGAGTAAAGCAAAATGTCAACTCTGAACAGACATGCCACGCAACCGGCCCTCTTTTCAATATTGTTAGTTTTCTGCAATCATCGTCTGACTCCATCTCGATCAAACGCATCATCCGGTTTCTACATGGGCGTTTGACTGACCGGCCACACAATAACCAAAAACAAAATCAAAGCTTCATGCACACATATGACATAAGTAAGAAACGGATGAAAAAGGCACAACCACGGCACAACTCTGCGCGGCAAACAACGGACAATGTCCCACGCAAGATCCCGCGTTTCTTCAGCGGTCTTGAACGGAATGAAAACATTACATTTCTTTTTTGGAGCTATTTGATGACGTCAAAAAATGCAATACCCGTTTTAATGGTCAAAATCGGGACAATTACTCACAAAAATGTTTCCCTTTAAGCATTACAAATAAATACTTTTAAATATTTAAATGACATTGTTTTTTCAAACAAATCAATATTATTTGCTTACTTAAACGTCATATACAATGCTGAGATCACTACGGGGCTGTCTTAGAGTGTAGCTGCACTGGCAACCTTTAGGCTAGACTCCAGGGGTCATTATACCAGAACAACATGATTCTACCAGCCAGTAGCTCATTTTTCTACTAGATTGGTGCTACGCTCAGCATTTAGGTGCCAGATTCAGAAAAAAGAGTAAGGCGTACCGATGAATAGGTGCCAGAAACAGCTAATTAAGGTCATTTTCCATGATTGGTGCTGGTATCCACCAAATAGGTGCTGAGGACCAATTTTGGGGCGAGTCAGCTTTTAGGTGCCAGAAATAGCTTTTCTGGGACGCAACTAAATGGCGTCCGTCTTTTTTTCTCCAATTAAGCGTTGATTCCATCGCGGGAAGCTAGGAAATAAATATACCAATTTATTTGTAAAGTAATACGACACATTTATGTGTGCACTACAATATTTATGCTCGATTCACTCTTTTGAGGAAAGTGATTAATTTTCTCACCGTGGCCTATAATCGGCAAACCCATAGCCTATCTCCTAGCATTCTTAATCATCGAATGCAACGACAGATACGATCAGATTATAAATTATAGTAACCTACCTTCTTGTCATACTGATGGGATTATAGGTAGCGCTCGAAGGCTTGGCGACGTTGGTCGCTCGCGGCCGTTTAGTTGCAGTGCCACTGGGGCGGGTCGCTGGGCCTGGCTCGCTCGCGACCGTGTGGCCCGGGCCGATAGCGTCGTCCGGTGCCACTGATCGCTCAGAGCCCGTCCTCGCCGCGTGACACACGGCTCCGCTAATTACTGTTTTGACAGCCGATTGGGGTAGGCAGAGTGGGTGGCAGGGAAGAGAGAGAGAGAGAGAGAGAGAGAGAGAGAGAGAGAGAGAGAGAGAGAGAGGGCAGAGGAAGAGGGTAGTGGATGGAAGATGGAGGGAGCGAGAGAGAAAAGGCAGATGGATGGGAGGGCAGAGACAGAGAGGATGGGAACTGGGAGGGCATAGACGGGGTGGGGCGTGGAAGAGCAGAGAGAAAGAGAGAGATAGAGGGGAGGGAGGGAAGGGAGAGAGAGAGAGGGAGAGAGAGAAGGGGGAAGAGAGACAAAGAGAGAGAGAGAGAGAGAGAGAGAGAGAGAGAGAGAGAGAGGGGGGATGGCATAGGAAGAAGGGACGAGTGAACGTAGAGACAAAGGAACCGGTAGCCGTATAGAAGGGTAGAGAATAGAGACACAGGGATAATGAGTAGGAACAGATGGACAAGAGGGCAGGGGAAGAGGGATAGTGGGTAGAGAATGCTGGGCGGTTGGTGAAGACAGAGTGACGGCAGACAGAGTCGGAGGGCGGCGGGCAAAGGCACATGGCGGCCGGTAAAGACGACAATGAGAGACAGAACAGTAATGACCACTTCGGCCTGTGCGAAACCTCTCACTCTGTCCTGCCCGTGCTCTGTGCCTCAAGCCCCCTGTGCCCGGGCAGGAGCAGAAGGTGATGAACGCTGGTAGTTTATGTGAGGCCTCTGTGCTGCCCGTGCTCTGTGCCCGGCGGCGTGGACCGGTCGATCGCACACCAGGAAGTGTTTAGGTGGAGCCGAGACACGGGGAACAGCGGCAAAGACGGACAGCCAGCCGTCGGAAGTCATACCTCACCGGACAGCCAGCCGTCGGAAGTTATACCTTACAGGACAGCCAGCCGTCAGCACTCATACCTCACCAGCCAGCCAGCCGTCGGAAGTCATACCTCACTTGTGAATGGAATTGAATTTTGCACACAAAAACAGTGAATGTGGTCTCTTGCGTGTGGAACGTAACCCGTATCGTATTGCTCAAGTTTGCGCTGCGTTTAGGTTTAATATTATTTTTCAGCCTAAACACCTTATTCATATTCATATTCACGTGTATTTGGGCAATCCCGAATAAGCTTCAGGCTATTCCTACCCATCGTCAACAGATTAAAAAGGGAATAAAAACAGGAGGACAAGCCTCACACACACGTCTCACACACTCTAAAATGCACTCACTCATCAGCCTCCGGACTTATCTCCGCAAAGGAGCTCGGCTCGCCCCAGCGTTTCTCCTAAGGTGACATTTCAACTGCCTTGAGAAGGGGGCACCTGGGAATCCTAACTGGTCTGTCACATCTGAGGCACAGCCTGCCAGCCGGTGTTCTAGCCACTCTAGTAAACGCTCTGGTCCTGTCTCAGATCCGCTACTGCCTGGCAGTGTACGGTAACGGCTCGCAGCTCAATACGTCTAGGATTAAAAAAATATTAAACTTCGCCGCTAAAGTCATTTTCGGCCGCAAAAAATACGACCATGTATCAGACTTACACCAACGGCTTGGCTGGCTGTCAGCTGCGGATCTAGGCAGGTTCCACACAATCACTCTCACTCACAAAGTTCTCCGTTCTGGCATATTTTTAAGGTATATTTTTATATACCTTAAAGTAGGTATATAAAAATATACTTCCCTTCAATATTAACTTTTAAACAAATAACCCTGATAAACAAGGAGATACGCGAAATATTAAATAATGAGACGCAACCAGTCGCGACCACGTCACCACATATCCAAAAGAAACTCTGGACTCCGAATTTAACATGTAACCACGCTGTAAACTGTTAAGCATAGGCTCGTCCTAATATTTGTGCAAATGAGCCAGACGCATCCAAACGAGCACTGGTTAGTTACAAGTTAGTGGCTAGGTACCCACCACTTTGCGATCCGCACACCTCACGGTGACTGTTCGGGAGAGGTAGCCTCGGGGCCCGCCGCGGCGCCCGTCACTGAATTACCGAAAATTTTGTAATACGAATTAAAAAAAAAATAATAGCCGACATAGTTTTATAATTAACACGCTTCAAAATTCAAAAATAACGATATGAAGAAGCGTCGCAATTTGTATTGAGATCTCCAGCTAAATATTCTCAGGCCACCTCCCCCGAACGTTCACCCACCTCACCTGCACGGCTTCCGATCCCGCCGGCTACACCACCGGACACGAACTGGCCAAACCGCAGTGGCCCCGTCCCTGTCACTGACCTGCACCCTGACCTCATCTGCGCGGCGCCTGCAGCAGTGCCAGGGCAGCGCTGGGTCACAATCAGCTGACGGTGACCGCGGGCCGGTCAGCCGGGAGAGATGCAAATTCGTGGACGAGGGCTGGGACACTCCACGCCCACCGGGCCTATCGGTTTTCTACATATTCCCCGGACCGACGCCAATAGTCAATCCTGACTGATGCATTGTTTAAAGAACCAAGAAAACAAAACACATATTCCAAGGCACTAGGTTGTAGGAGCGGGTACGACCCCCTCGCTGTTTCTCTGCTAGTTGAGCTAGATCTTTGCTAAAAAACGAGTTTATGCCCTGTTACGAGATACAGCGACTAGAACCCGATTTTGTGTGTCTCAGGTCAATTGGTGACCTTAACTTGGGGTCAGGTTGAAACACCCGAAGGAAAGGATTCGGTTTTTGGTTAGCAGCTTTGTCGAAAATGATTGGTTGCAGAGTCGCGCGCCAAAAATTGTTGCTAGCGGACACTTGACAAGATGATGTTTTTTGTTTTTTTTGGGTTAGGCCCTTTCGGTCGACAAGACCATTGCAGAGCCGGAAGGATGATAGGAATTAGGGGGAGACATTGGTCTGGGCAGGCACCCTAGTGAGTCGCCGGGGCTGAGCCCGTCCAGAGGACAGGCCACCCAGCCCCAAGGCACTCACTGCACCCGGCTACGGGGTGCGCTCCCTCAGGAGCAGCGGTGCCGCTCCAAGGGAGCAGCCCGCATGAGATAAAGTTGCCTGTCCAGTCCGGAGGGGGGTTGCGGCTTGGAGGAGAAGGATTTCAGTATCCTGAGGATAGAAGCACGGAAAGGTGACAAGATGATGGAGAGTGAACTCTCCTATCCCGAATTTCCTGTACCGTTCAGTACCGATATGTATGCTGTCCGCTCCGCTCGTGCTGCCTCCGAGACTGCAGCGACATTCTCTCGAACCTCTAGTTCCCAGCTCACCGTACAGATGGCGCGCAGGCCAACACTCCCCGGGATAAGAGCAACAAGTGCCGCTCGATCAATATGGAGGCTGGTCGGCGCGCCGGTGGGCCGCGGCCTGCTGCACGTGACCGGTCGGCGACGCGGCGACATCTGCCCAGGTGGAGCGGCAAGCTATCGACGCCAGCCGAAGGCCACCGTCGGCAGCGTCCCGTCGCCGACAGAAATAGCCCGGAAGTGCGGCGCCCCGCTGCTGTCCAGACGTCTGACCACGTCAGGGAGGGGTGCTGGGAGCTCCCGCTGCTGTCCAGACGGCTGACCATGTCAGGGAGGGGTGGTGGGAGCTCCCACTGCTGTCCAGACATCTGACCACGTCTGCTGGGGTGGGACATCAGGCTGGGAGGATGGTGAGACCGTGAGCGCCCTACATCCCGCGCCGGTCGAGGTTGTGGATGGGTGTCCTGATGTCCCAGGCTCGGGACTTGGCTGGTGTGGGACCCGATAGTTCATACCGAGCCCTGAAAGGCGCCCGGGGGTGGTGTGTGAGACGTATGTACCCTGAAGCTGGGTTCGGGTAGTGTCCGGGCGCCATGACGTGAAGTGTGGGCGCCCTGAAGCCGGGCTTTGGTATATAAGTGTTTGTGTTACTTACGGTGAGCTGGGACGGCGCATGGGTTCATTGATAGGAATTTTAGTTTGTTCTGTCTGGCGAGTCGTCTAACGGTCTAAGCACCTTAACGATGGCAGACCGCTCGCTGTGGCGAGCCTGAGCCGAGGCCGACCCAGTGCGACTCTTCTCCAACTGGAATGGCGTCGAGACCCTGGCGTCTTGTCCGGTCTGTCATTAGGGATAAATGCTACCACTCTGTGGTTATTTGCTCACAATGGAGGGGCTGGAACATCGGAACCCCGCACCTGTTAAAAACAGTGTAGGGCAAGGTATGGGTACAAAACAACGGTAGAGATTGATGATTGTCATAGCTCCACCGGAGCCGTTTTCTGATGCTGTGCTGTCGTATATCGTCAATCGCGTCGAAGAGAATGCTAGGGATGCAGGGCTGGAACGTTTCTCATGGTGCCGATTTGAGTTGGAGCGCTGTCGTTTCCAGGTCAGGGTTTTTCAGGAGGCTGCAAGTTGGGTCAGGGCTGGTCTAGGTCAGGTCAGATGCTGGCTCAGGTCAGGTCACTGGGACAGGTCCAGGTCAAGTCAGAGGCTGGTCTAAACCAGGGGCTGTTCTACGCCAGGGGCTAGTCCAGATCAGGCCAGGAGCTGGTCCAGGTCAGGTCAGGGGCTGGTCCAGGTTAGGTTAGGGGCTCTGGGCTGGTTCAGGTCAGATGCATGTCAGCTAGCTGACGAAAGCATTGAACTCTCGAATCGAACTAGCAAATGATATGCATCAGCTGACCCCTCGCCAGTTCAAGTTGAGTACAGACTTTGTTCGATCTAATATGAAACCTGACCCCGGTCACATGGGAGTAGTTTGAATTGATAACCACGGGCTAAGGCAAATTGCGACATTTGCAACTCGTATGGATCAAATTTAAACATTGAGCTTCCAGAGAGGACTTTATCGGGAAGCCTGCGATCCATGTATACTGGTATGAAGGCACTCCTGTCTTGTGCGCACGGCCTTTGAACATACCTCTTAGCACACCTACCTACATGTAGGTATTGTGTATCTAACTACATGTGGACACTTAACTAGGTTGTTACCTGTCAGTCGGGACGTCATTGATGCCTCTCTCATAATTGAATTGTTGTTATCGTGAAAGCGATGATCCGCATATCCATTGTTATTGCAGTAGGTAAACCACACTAAGGGTTATTACAAGGTCATACAGCTCAAAGCTCTCCAATACATCCCAGGGGTGACAGGCGATGGCACCCCAGGGCCACTGGACTAGTTTGTCGGACTCGGGTCCAGCTATGCTTTAGGGCCTTGGGTCCAGCAGCTCCAGAGACTCGCGGCGAAGCTACTCTGCTGTGAGCCGTCCGCTGCTCGATAATTCATCCCCCGACATCCTTGAGCGTTTGCCTAATTATATTTGTTATGGTAAAATGAAGATGTCAGTGAATTTTGATAGGGGAACATGTTTTCAGCGTATGTTAATCACTAAATGTGTGAAAAGTCTACTGAATAAGTAGATCAGTACGGAGAAAACAATCGTACAGAATTGCAGCCTGTAAGTTTTACCCGCATTTGCCACCGGCTCAAAAGCAATTAAATTCCGACTCCACTGAACTTTTCGGGGTCGTTTTCCTCAGATTTCTTCCAGTTGAGAACATGCTCAAAGTCGCGCCCAGCTCAGCTCAGTTACAGCTCCCCTTTCAGTTCCGTCCTTGTACAGAATTGATACGCTCAGCTCTCTTGTCCAAGATTCGAGCTCTTACAGAGCTCTGACCATCTGTGACATTCAGTTCAACTCGGCGCGCTGAGATCTGCTCAGCTGTTTCTTCCATCGGTTACAGTTTCTCCTCAACCGGCTTGTTTACTTTTAGAAACGCATTCGAAATGTCATAAATCTGGCTCGTTCAAATATTTTGGATGAAAAGTTTATCGCAAGTTTAGCTTCATGCGGCGACTCAGTTACCTACTCGAAGGTAACTCACCCTATCACCCAATGACTGCATAAACATATGCATGACTAGCATTAGCGGAAAAATGCAGCGCCGCTTTGCGACTCATCCTCACCGTTAGCGTGGAGCGGGTGCCGAGAAGGATCGAATTCGATCCTGAACTTCTGCTGATCAGCAGAAGTGATTACTTTGAGCAGAAGTGATTACTTTTTACTTTGAGCCGCCACGAGGAGTAATTGTTTGGCCATAGTTGATCGATTTACACATTTGAGCGAGCCTAATAGCGTGTTTGTGACGAAAGATGGTTATACGCACATAAGTACAAACGCAACGGTCACACCGTTTTCGAAGCGCATGTTCATTGCTCTTCCCAGTGCAAACTGTCGATGGCATGACGCAGCTGTTTTCTTTTTTTCTGTTTGGCAGCACCATGTCGGCCATCTGTTTCGTCTGCAACCTGCCGATCCTGAGCCACCAGGTCGGCCTCGTCTGGAAGGGCGGCAACGGCGCCGACGAGTTCGCCGCCTCGCAGCCGATCCCGATCCGCCGGCGCGACTCGTCCTCGCAGATCGCCACATTCGAGCCGCCCTCGCCGCCGGGCCGGCCGCGCCGCCGACGTCGCTCCTCCCTGGCGCAACTCACCGACCTCATCCGAGACTGGGGCCGCGGCGGCGGCGGAGAGCGCAAGAGGGCCGACCTCAGCCGCAGGGAGACCCTGGCTGACTTTGCGCGCTCACTGCCGTTCGGAAGGCGAGACTCGGATTCGCGCGAGGCGCCGCGCTCGAAGGCCGGGAGGCGTCAGTCGCTGGCCGACGCTCAGTTCAAATCGCGCCGCGCTGTGGAGCCGGGATCCGATCTGAAGACTGATATCTCAAAACTGCTGGCAGGCCGAGACAGCGTCACTGAGCTGTGGCGCAAACGGCGAGAGATCCAGGTGCACTCGGAGCGCGAGGAGCTGCGCTCGCGGCGCGAGTCCGCCGCGTCCGCGGGTCGTCGTGACTCCAAGCCTGCCGTCTCACCCGACGGCAAATACATTGAACCTCGCGCGCTGATCGAGGCTCGCCAGGCAGCGCTACTCGGACAGTCAGATGACGGCGCGTCGAAGCGAGACGGTGCAGTCACCCTGAGCGCGGCTAATGTATCAGAAGGCAGGCACAGTCCGACGGCGCCGACGTCGGCGATCCTCCACCGCACCTCGCTGCCCACCATCACGCCTCTGGCGCGGCGTGGCGACGCCCGGCCGCGAGCCTGCATCTCTCCAGAGCCGACACTCTCCTATCGGGGTCGAGATGGATCTCCCAAACAGGCGCTGCTGCGCCGGCAGGCCACCGCCTTCGACGAGGGCTGCTCGCTGGTGGTGGGTGGCCGGCGCGGCTCTCGGCCCTACCTGTCGCCGGACCCGGCAGAGGCGGACGGTGCCGGTACGGGCAGGGGAGGCGGTCGCCGGCGCGACTCGCTCTCCCCGGACAGCGCGGCCGAGGAGATGAACCAGGCCAGGAGGATGAAGAGCCGCCGCCAGTCCAGCGAGGACGCCACCGGCCGCGCCCGCAGGGGTAGCCACCACGCCCTGCACAGGTAAGCCAATCATTCCTTTCACAGAGCCAGGCTCAGCGGCCCACAGACCTTGCACAGGCCAGGCTGCGTCACAGACAGGCAAATCTACTCCACACACACAGCCCATAGATCAGACCAGTGATAACTGCACAGTATTGGCATTACACCCTGCACGTCAGGCCAAGGTATACGCACAGCCCATGCACCACACTTGCCTAGGTATTACTTCAATTTGTTTTGTTTCGTTGTATTTTTGCATGGATTTTGCAACGGAGTTTACTTGCAATTTCGTTCTTGAAATCGAATACCTTCCTGTTGGATGCAGCGTTTAAGAGGAAATATCCAACGTATGTCACTTTCATCTTCCTTAATGAACTTGCAGAATAGGTATATAATCCAAATACACGTATGATGACTACCGCAAGCTCACTTCTATAGGTACCCCGCGCCTGTCCCACGCAGAATAACGCAAATAGCAGCATTATTTCATTGTTACATTATCGAAATGCCGAGCGTTAGTTAATTAACACCTCCATTCGTCGGTGGTCGGAAGAATGGCCGGTAATTTGTCATAGATATTCCAAATAAGGGAAGATACCTGTTACCGTTAGAACCTTTTGGCAATCGGCGTATGATGCGCAGTATTTTTTTTTTTTTTTTTGAGGGGGGAGGATTGGCCCGTCAAAAAGTAAAACGTGACTGGTGGTTAAGCGGTACGATAAACGCACGTAAACGTATACAGCAATTAATCATTAGCCAAAGCGTTCTCTGTCGAATCCGTTTAGGATCTAGGGCATTATACTTACAGTTTCATTTCATGATAGGACCAAATCGAAAGGTAAGCTTCGCAGCATGGGGCTCTATAACGAATTAGATATGTCATGATAACTGAATATTTTCCATTGTCCATCAGTTAATTCGTGCTGATGATCAGAAGTTCATTCGATTCGAACATGCCACACTTACTAATTCAACGTGGTATTCAACGTGGTTCCATGCTTTCAAATGCCTTGTTCTCAATCAAGCATAAATAGTTGATAACTGAACGGTTCATTGCTTGTAATTCTGGCAAGCTAAGTACCTACGGTATAATGGAATTCAGTGCCAGTAGCGGTGACCAATCCGGCCAGCATTAGCTTGAGCATGAAAGGCTACTTTCCAACAGCACCTATTGATCTAAGGTGCTGCTCAAAATGAAAGCGAGAAGTCAATTGCATTTCTCGTACTTTCGTTTTACCCAATAGCAACACAATTGCCGTTCGCTCTGGTTAACTTCATCGAACTTGGAATTCCCATTTAGTTGAACCGCTGCCTAGTCAATTCTTATGGGATAAGCTGTGCAGGCTAATTTCTATTTCGACTGTGGACTGAAATCTGTTTCTCTGTTGTTCAGTATTCCGTCCCACAGGTCCCGGCTCGCTGATTGCCTTGGTGACAGTTCCCAGGCACAAACTAATGACGACACTGCCATTGCCACCTCCCCAGGTCACCAGAGGGCTCGAGCACAGGCAGCTCGCGGGAGCCGTCTCCCAACTCATCTGTGCGTCGACAGTCCACTACAGAGGAGATCCTTATAGCCAAGGTGAGTCAGGATTCCGGACGGGGGGGGGGAGTATTAAACACGGAACCACCTGTCGAAAGTGAGAGCTCTTCGCCGGGCCAACTCGCTAGTGACCAGTCCAGGCATGAGAGCCTGTTGTCCAGGCAGCTCACCTGACAAATAGCTAGGAATTATCTGTTGAGCCAGGCTACCTGTCAAATCCAGTAATGGATCTCTGGTGTAAATGTCTGATGCTAAGCGCACGGCTGATAAAATTAGCGTTATAACGTTATAACGCACTTTCGTGTGTAGCTGTCTTCCTGTATGCGTTGTATGGAGTGGCGATTGACTTGCATATGAATAAGCAATGTATTTAGAGGCACATATATGCACGTTGCAGTTGCACAATACACAAGATAACATTTGTTTGTATAGATTTCTGACTGATCTCTTTTAATTTGATGTCGGTTCGAATTAACGTTTAGGCCTGACCAATGACTTGATAACGAAGGGGATTCCCACAAATGGTTTCCGATGTTCCTCGACTAAAACGAATTCGATCAATGACCGATTTGGGAGCCATGGGCACCAGAAGTGGGTGTACCCCTGTGAGCCTGCTACATCAGCCCCGAATACTGATTGCGAGCCATGACGCAGGACCTGAGATGCCATGGGAACGGTGGTTGAGCATTTCTATGCAAACCTGCGGGTCGCAGGTCCGGCTCTTGGTTATGGGTTCTCTGGGTAACAGATTCAAATTCACAGCGGGTGGAATATTTCACACAGAAAATATCCGAGTAAGACTGGAAACATTAATGCCTGACACCGTTGGTGTTCCACGAGTGTATGCATCAGTGATGGTAGGGGTCACCGCGTACTCTCCAAGTCACTGCCAAACCATGTTGGTGTGTTCCAAGGCTCGGCCCTCGGGCCTTTGTTGTTCACTTGCTTTGCGAACGACATGAGCCTGCATGCCCTTGATGCGCGTATCGTTCAGTACGCTGACGATACGCAGGTGCTCGTCAGTGGCCGTAGGACAGCGATGAGCGACACAGTGACTAGAATGGAGACGACCCTGGCAGCCCTCAGTGACTGGTTTGCGGCCAATGGGTTGAAAGTCAATGCCACCAAGACTGAATTGATTGCGTTTGGCAGCCGGCAGAGCATGCGCAACCTGCCTGACATAAATGTAAGATTTAGAGACGCCGTCTTGAAACCGTGTCAAAAGGTCAAGAATCTGGGCGTGACCTTCGATTCTTACCTCACCTGGGATGACCATGTTGCTGCCATTGTTGGTAAATGTTTCGGAGCGCTGATAGGATTGAGCCAGGTGCGCCACTACATACCAGAGGAAACGATTGTGACGCTTGTGACTGCCCTTGTTCTCTCACATGTGCGGTACTGCCTGCCCGTTTACGGGAACTGCTCGAAAGGGAACCTCGCACGACTTGATAAGGTCATTAATTTTGCCGCAAGGGTTGTGTCTGGCCGTCGCAAATATGACCACGTGGCTGATGTAAGGGACGCGCTGGGGTGGCTCTCGGCTGGTGATCTATCGTCGTACGATACGCTGGTGCTACTGCACAAGGTTATCCGAACGGGCGAGCCAGCTGACATTGCCGCTATGTTTCGCCGAAATGAGGAGATGCGCGAGCGAGCGACTAGACGGGATAGCAGGCTGTGGCTACCTGGCATCCACACAGAGGCGGGGCGTCGAAGGTTCAGCTACCGTCGAAGGTACTCAAACGTCGCTTTCAACACTGATTTAGGCTTATGCATATGGGTTGCATGCATGTCAGCTGAAATCTATTCATGCATAGCCATGCGTTTTGGTGAGTTTTGTGTGATTTGAGTGTGATGTCATTTTGTTCCATTCTCATATGACGCGGGAGCGTAATAGCCACAACTACCTGTGGATGCCCCCCAGATGTTAAATACAAATACAAATACAAATACGATGCCACCAACCCTTTTTTGAGTCGTATAGCACGAACTTCCAGTTTCTTCATCATACGCCGCTCTGTGATCTTAGGAATAGCCACGCCAGGAAAGCAGCGCCGATCGAGCCGTGGGGCCGTGTCATCACCATCATCAGGTGATCAGGTCGTGTTTCTCGCGTGCAGGGTTTCCGTCGCCAATCGACCACCGAGGACATTATTCGGTGTCGCAACTTCCGGCGCCAGTCGACGCTGCTGGACGAGGCGGCGCGCTGTCGCGGTCGACGTGACTCGGCCACGCAGATACTGGACGGCACCGTCGCCACTATGACCGTGGAGTCGGCCGGCGTCGTCTACGACACGTCCACGCAGACAGGTGAGCTAGCTCTCCGCACAGTGCAGCTAGGTGAGGTCCTCGCCCACCGGACAGGTAACGTTCCTCTCATTGAACAGACGGGTGAGACTCCCACCGAACAGGTGAAGCTCTCTCACCGGACAAAGACATTTGAGCTTAGACAATCGAGGCCCCTCCCGCCCGGAGCATATGAGACCGGCCAACTATGGTCCTGACCACGGTCTAAACACTACATACATTGGATATGATTTGTCACGCATGTTCAGTGGTCTTTGATGTCACCGTCTATTATTGCACTGTTGGAAACGCATCGCCCATCGGTAACCAACATGGTAAACGAGATGACGGATTTAATAGACAACGTAGATTCTTCTCGATCATTCTGCAAATGCGGATAACGGTCCTCTCATTCTGCTCTAAGCTTGGTTAAAACGCCTCTAAAGGTAGTTTTGCAACATCGTTTGTTAGGAGACACCGGACCACTAAGTTGGTTTTGCCTGCTCGTTCGGCTGAGGTGAGTCCCCAATTGTCCGGATTGATATCCTGTTCGATATAGGCCGACCCATAATACTGATTGAGCTGCACTGGGACTCAGTGGAGCCGTGCGTCCGAGTCGATACGGTACGTCATACGACCACGAGGCTCTGCCGCTCTGCCCGTTTTGTCAATTGAATGGAAACTTGAACCTGCCGATTCAGTCGATACTCAGTTGTAATGGCCATATGTGGTCCATCGAGGTCGGTAGCGTTAAAAGGTGTTTTTTTTTTTTGGAGGGGGTGTCGCCTATTTATAGCGTAATCCTCCAGAGATGCTTTGATTGCGATGAGAAATTTCATGAAACTTTTTTACTTCATGTACTTAGACGGAAAACAAGCACATGGTTCGGCGAAGCTAAGCGATTCATAATTACTGTCCATTTACTATGTCGAAGATGTTCAATAAGCAAAACAGTATAAAGTAAATAATGCACCGATAACCGAAGGTTTGTGTTTCACTGTTAAAAGCACGATTCGTTAAAAATGTTTTTCTTTTTTTTCTATTGAAAAACATGCAGGAGTCCCGGATATTTTTGCATATTCATTGAAACATTAAAAGAAAAAGTCCAAGTTGATGGTTTTCCATTCCAGTGAGTTCGGCATTGACGTGGCCACGTGATCGATTCAGTTATGGTCCGCCCAGAAACTGAATTGGTGCTGAGTCGGTCTACCATCGATGTATGCACTGAAAAGGAACCCACCACATGGAGCTCGATCGTTTTATACGGGACTCCTCTGTCAAAAGCTGTTCAGCGCGCACTGAGTCGGTTGGGACCAGTTGGTAGGTGTTGGGCGGCTCCCACCAGCCGGGGTCCGCCTGGGAGCGCTCACACGGGGGCGCTCAGTGACCGCTGCACCTGCAGGGCCGGTCAGTGGACAGGGGGACCGGCAGTTGACACAACGAACCGGCAGTTGTGCGGCCACATCCAGTTGACACCGCGTTCCGCCGACGGGGTCGAACGGTTTACGCCCACCGAAGGCTGGCGCGCCGCTTCACGATACCTATCGACCGCTGCGCGCCGCTGCTGCGCCGCCAGTGCCGCGCCGCGCCGCCGCCCGCCGGCGACGACCAGTGGCGCGCTGGGGCCGGGCGTGACGCACCGCCTGGTCCCGACCTGACCTGACCTGCCACGGTCCGACCCGGTGGCACCCGCTACCATCAGCCCGGGCCCGGCTGGCGCGGCTGGCTCGGCTTCTCGTGATCTGTCCTCAATCGTACTCAGCCGACCCATAACATTACCGTAACGCCATGGTCTTTCAAAGCTAGACCTTGTGAATTCAAACTCTGAACTCTGTGCTCACTGTCCGATTAGTCACATTTCGAGTCGCTCGGGAGTGTCTGCCTGGTCGGCTGCAACCCGTACCGCCGTGCCGTGTGTGATCGGAGCTGGGCACGGAGAGCCGCGGCCAGGAGCCGCCACCGCGTGTTCCTCCGCCCGCCACCTGTACTGGAACAACAGGCACGCCATGAAGGCTCCAACGAGGTACGCGCCGGGGAGGGGGCTCATTGAATGGACCGGGGAGATACTCGCACTTGTTGGCGGCTCGTGGGGGCCGATTCCTCTCAGAGCGGTCGAGAGAGTCACGCAGCCCAGCTTAGGGCAGTAGGGACGGTCATTCGTAAGGAACAGCTGGTTAGGAGCACGCTATTCTTTAGAGCGCGTGCCTCGCTATTATCTTTGAAACCGAGGCTCGATGCTATAGCCTGGCAGGAAATGAATGGAGTGAATTACAGTTGTACAAAGGTAGGATGTCCATTGTGGGGAGCATTCATTCTGGCCAGGGTTCATAATGTCCAGGGTACGCTATGCCCAGTGTCAAAATGGCCAGTGCCTTGAATGGGCCAGAGTTCATAATGTCCAGGGATTGCATGGTCCAAATGTGGCCAACTGGCTGCAGATAGAGTATATTCAAAGAGGCCAGGGTTCATAATGTCCAGGGCACGATGTGTCCAGTGTTCAAAATGGCCAGGGTTCATAATGTCCAGGGCACGATGTGTCCAGTATTCGAAATGGCCAGGGTTCATAATGTCCAGGGCACGATGTGTCCAGTGTTCAAAATGGCCAGTACCTTGAATGGGCCAGAGTTCATAATGTCCAGGGATTACATAGTCACTGAAAGTGACGTCATTATGTAAAAAACGCGGAATCAGCTCAATGCAAAGCAGTGCAGTGCCGAAGGCAATGCCTTAGGAGAGATTACAGGCAATAGTAAATCAAATATTTTTAGGTTAAGTGGTTATGTATCTGGCTTCAGGCCGAAGGCCTGAAGCCTGATGCATAACCACTTAACCTAAAAATATTTGATTTACTATTGCTTGCAATCTATTCATGCGAGAAACTTTTTCCTTATCCCTGGTAGGCAAACATCATTACCTTAGGTTAGGTAAGGTTAGGTTAGGTTAGGTTAGGTTAGGTTAGGTTAGGTTAGGTTAGGTTTGGTTGGGTTGGGTTGGGTTGACTATGTAATCCCTGGACACTATGAACTCTGGCCCATTCAAGGCACTGGCCATTTTGAACACTGGACACATCGTGCCCTGGACATTATGAACCCTGGCCATTTCGAACACTGGACACATCGTGCCCTGGACATTATGAACCCTGGCCATTTTGAACACTGGACACATCGTGCCCTGGACATTATGAACCCTGGCCTCTTTGAATTTACCCTATCTGCAGCCAGTTGGCCACTTTTGGACCATGTAATCCCTGGACAATGTGAACACTGGCCAATTCAAGGCACTGGCCAATTCGAGCACTGGACACATTGTGCCCTGGACATTATGAACCCTGGCCTAAATAATACGCACCCGTCCATTGTCCATCTCTTAGAAGCAAATAAATGCGCCTATCATGCATCGTTTTGTTAACAGACGTCGAGTCGAGCTTGAACTGATAAATGCTTGATAAATGCTAAATAATTTCGTTGAATTCTAGACAAGGGAATGTGAACAGCAGGTATATATAAAAACTCTTGGCTTCAAAATTTGTGATCCATGTTAACATGAGGACTAAATTAACCTCGTTTCTTATCTGATGAGAAGTCCAATTACACTGTAACTCCGCACACCGATAAAACAAACACCATCGACCACTCGAATCGATGAATTGGTCATGGAATGGGCAAGCTTAATTCCGTAGGTGCTTGGTATACAATCGATGTTTTCAACCATTAACAAAGCTGGTTTCGATCGCTACCGGACGCCGCTAACAAAGTGAAAGGCGCGGCTGTGAAATTAAATGTTAACTATTTCATACACTATGCTAATTTGGACATCTGCCCTTCATCATATTTGAATCTGGTGTGATCTTTTACACATACTCATTCCGATTTTTTAGTTTGGGCATTGGTGCCTCTAAGCAAGCCCTAAAGACTTGCTTTTTACGTCAATTAAAAACTGCTGCACAAAAACAGCAAAAACGTTCTACGTAGACGGACATTTCCATTTTGTTTGTAGTGCAGTAAGTAGGGTGGCTGGAATCCCTATTCACGTCGGTGAGATGCCCACTTTGGTACATAATGATTTAGGTATGTAGCTATCTCAGATACATAACGTTCCGACACAAAAGTCATTCACAAAAAGTCATTTACGTGGCTCACCGTTGGGGATGGTATCTGAATAGTGTAGACTCTCGAACTACTCATCGCTTTATTGGACGCTGTTTGTTTATTGGTAATCCGGACCGGAATCATATGCCACAAACGGAGCCATACATTATGAAATGGTGAGCTACTGCACTAGAGTGTTCTGGGAATCAATTTGGTTTGATGAATAGCGCAACCATCTCTTCAGAGAAACAATCATTTGGATATAAATGCCTCTGCTGCATACCGCTGTATATTAATTATTGTCTACTGACGACGATTCGTGTTGTGTTTCAGAACAAAGCTCGCTGTATGACAACAACCAGTATCACGAGGAGTGCCTGCGCTGCAACTCATGCGGCCAGAACCTGACCGGCACCAACCAGAAGAGGGCGCGCCGACACCGCAATAATGTGAGTCTCGTCCGCCGCTCCTCAATCATTCCTAATTCAGTGACACTGGTCGTATTGATCCGGCTTGTTTAGCAGTGCTCACGCGTCTGATTCTGTTTCCTACATAATGCAGAAACACTTGGGTAGAGCTTCTTCCTGGAACGATCAAATGAATGCGTCTGAGGGGATTGGCATTGCGAGAGGCATGCACATAAACCGAAAAGGTTATGCTGCTCTTTTTAACGATCACTTTGCTTTAATCAGCCGTCTTTAGACAATTGCAATAACAAATTTCCAAACATTAGGGAAGTGCTACACAGTTGCCAGCAGCCCTTGCGTTTGTTACATCTCGTAACTACAAAACGGATGGATGGTTTTGCAGGCGCTCCTATAATAAAATGAAACTGTCCTCCAAAATTACAGCGCAAAGTTTCAGCACTGGCATTCATTGCAACATTTCACTCGAATGGAACAAATCAGTCCACTACACCATGGAGGTACTTTGTTGGTCACGTGTTGACACACGGCCACGTGAAATAGACCACGGTTCGCAATTAGTGCCGGCTTAATTGACCTGTTGCCGAGTATGACGCCCGGCGGTATCACAGCAACCCTATCCGGAGCAGAGCCGACGCCGAGCACCGCACTGGTCGGCGTGAGGAAATGACAATCAAACACCTGTGGAGGGTTATTGGAGGGCGAGACTCGATCTCCCACACCCCAGGCTCTCCACCCGGCTCGCTGCTCGCCACTAGCCACTCACTGATAGCAGCTCACGGCCAGCGGCTTACAGCTCACAGTTCACAGCTCACAGCTCATAGCTCACGGCCTCCAACCTGCTCACCGCGCCCGCTACCACTGCTGCTGTAACTCCCGCTGCCGCTCACTGCTGTGTTCACTGCTGGCTGCTCGCCGCTCACAGCTCGTAGCTCACGGCTCACCAGCCTGCTCACCGCTCCTATACTTGACGATCACGCTCTCACTGCCCGCTGCCGTTTTACCGCTGTCTGCTCACTAATGCCGCTGCTGCTCACTAATGCCGCTGCTGCTGCTGCTGCTCACCGCTCGCCGCTCACAGCTCACAGTTCATAGCTCACGGCTCACCAGCGTGCTCACCGCTGGGCCGCTGGCGTTACCACTGTCGCTCACCGCGGCTGTCGCTCGCCGGGTCCCGCTGGACGATCCCGCTGCCGCTGCCGCTGTCGCTCACCGCTGCCCGCCGAGCCCCGGGTCCCGCTGGACAATCCCGCTGCCGCTATACCGCTGCCACTGCCGCTATACCGCTGCCACTGCCGCTATACCGCTGCCACTGCCGCTATACCGCTATACCGCTGTTGCTCACCGCTCGTCGGCGAGCCGGGTCCCGGGTGATCTATCAGACGTCACTCGATAATGCCGGCTCTCCTGCAAAGTTCAGGACGTATTACGGCCGGACATTTGTTGTGGACTAGACGTTAGCTCGCGTATTTCTCGATCCATGGGGAATGTTTGGTTCTGATTAGTGGTGTGCTTTTGCTTTTAAGCTCCTTATCATTACCTATATTGAATTTCAGTGGGATTTTCATTAATCTCAGCAAAATAGTGAAATGTAACTATCGAGGTAGGGTAGGCTTATTGTTCACAGACAAGTGAAGTTATAACATTTGCATCATTTCAGCCACATTCCACCGACTTTATTACATAACAGAGTTAAAGCTATTCATAGAGTACCCGGAAGTCGGTTGCATTACATTGCATAATGTATTAATTCCTTTGATTCCTTCACTGTCTCATGCTGGTAATACCCTTGAAGCATATGCTAAAGGAGATCAAACATTCAACTCTGGCCAGTCATGGAAATACAAGGCTGAATGCCTAAAAGGATGTTAATTAACACTATGCTAAAACCATAAATTTAACATTCAAACGCCTCCGAGATGGATGCCTTTGGTCTAAAACGAGCTTATCTGCTTGGTTTTACGCACAGCCACGAACCAGTGCCCCATCGTGGTGACAAAACTATTCCTATGTGTCATCTTTTTCAAGTCATACGCAGTTACTGTGGGTACATACGTCAGTCACTTCGTGCACGGGCGTCACTTTATGGAATTTATTGGTAGGACTTAAATGGTTGATTTTAGGGATACCAAAGCCATTCTTACTATGCAACACCATAAGGCTAATGTCAAAATGTGGACATTGTTGGTAGGACTCGGGCCCTACCAAGTCTACCAAACGACAGCCATGCTTCGTGCCTTACGTTAATAACAGTCAATCACTGCACTCACATGCAATGCAAAGGAAGCTCGCTGGTAAATGTCGGCTTTTAACACTCTATTGGCATCGCAAATGTGAAACGAAATGAACAATGAAGATTGATTAAAATGATGAATGAATAAATGAATGAATGAACGAGTAAATTGATGAAAGAATGAATGAATAGATCGACGAATCAATTAATAGATAAATAAATTAATTAATTAATCGATGAATGAATACATAAATGCTTGAAGGGAAACAAGGAACATTTGAATAATATGGGTTTCACCGGACAAAACTGTTTTGTGACTGTTTGCCTATAAACAAATATTTGTCAATGGGTGTTGTTATCTATGCCTACCCGTACACGGTACAGCGCCTGTCAAATGGTGTCTACCAGTTACCGCGAAGTGCTGAAAGAACGATAAATATTAGCCTCAATCGAAGTGCTGACGTTCATCAATCATTTTGGCTGAGCTGGGATCTCACCCATTGACTTCAACTGACATCTCGGAAAGCGAAGGCCTGGGAAGCACGGTTGCATTCTGTCAAACATCGGTACAATCATGCTGCCATTCACGTATTTGGAGAAGATAAATTGCATTAACTTCTCTAATCTAACCCATTGACCTGTCATGGCTGACTCAGCGCAAGAAAGCCAATTTAGCTGGCCGCCTGCCTTGCGTACATGGTGGAGTGTTCCCAATTGTAACTTCACGATCTGAATGCTTGTTTGTGCAATACCTTGCGGAGGTTTTAATACGGGGTAACCAGTTACCACGCATTATGCGTATCATTCGGTCGCACTGTCTCTAGGGCATGATTGCATTTTTAACCATTGCTGCACACATTTCTGACCTGACCTCCGTCACTTCCAATCGGTCAGCTGCGACCGGCGATGGACATCGAACCCTGTTCAGGCTTCAGTAACAGTGCCCAACTTGAACTAAACACGGGAGTTCCATTTCATCCGATCACGTCCAATAAATGTCGCTGAGGCAGAATCGAAGCGTTTGCAATTGATTAGCCGATTTTGGCGTGCAAGTTCAGGTTATGCGTCTTTTAAATAGAGTCCCGGTTTTTAATAGTTCCGCTTAATTTTTCATTCTGTCGTTTGCTGCCTTTAAGTAAATGCCTGATGAAGCTGTGTAAAAGATGTGAGCAAATGCGATTCAAAGCCCCGTGATGCGACTAAATGAACGTTCCACCTGTATAGCTTTAAGTTTAGACCATTTCCAGCCACAGCCCAATCTATCTTCATGTGCCCTTCATTTCAGATCTACTGTGATCTCCATTTCGCTGACCTTGCCCTGATGGAGAGCTCGGACTTTATGAACCAGCTGCGCGCCTTCAAGCCTCAGAGTCTGGGCTGCGCCGTGGCCCGTCGCAAGAGCTCCACGACGCTCATCTTCCCGCTGCCGCCACAGGCCTGTTCAGGTAAAACTAGACAACACACCACAGCCCCAGGCCTGTTAAGGTAAAGATAGACCGCACATCACAGTATGTATATACCAGGCTTGTTCAAATCGCACGGCACAAATTTGACGACATGTGTGCCTGACGAGGAGCACAACGCATACCGTCCACAACTTTTTCGCCACTTCAACTGCGGAATGCAACGCTAACATGCATATGTGTGATGGTTGGTAATTTTCGTATCGATTCTGATAGACAGGAAATCAAACAAACTTCTAAACATTCATCTGGAACGAATAGGTAGCTTGGTTTTGAAGTGCGCGCCCGACACAAGCTCATTTTTTCTTTGTGGTGTCTGCGGCAGCCATTCCACGTCGAGGAGTGTCCGTGAAACTGCCTCTGTATGCTCGGCGAATGTGGTGATTGGAAATCATCGAGAGCGACACTCGGAAATGAAAGCTTTTCACCTTGTCATGATGGCGTGGCTGGCTTTGAGAAAGATGTGACTGAAAGGACTTTGGTCGATCTTTGAGATCAGAAGTATACAAATATAAAACGACTATAAGAAGTTATCAAGTTTGCATAAATTGGTCCTTTTAAAAATGACGCAAGACAGGATGAGAAAAACGTGAAACAGGATGGAATATGTTTATTCTTACATCTAAAACTGCGCATGAAGGCTAAGTTATCTTTCATTTAGTTTCAGTTATGTTCAATTTCGACTTCTCACACAAAATACCACCTATTTTTCGACATATAACGTTGCAACAGTTGACTGCTATTTCGACCTATGCTAGGGTTACGGCACCTGACTGCACTATTTCGACCCGTGATGACCTTACGGGGCCGCTGTTTCACCTGGTGATAGTGCTGCCAGCTCAGCCAGTTCCAGTAATATGACATATTGATCTGGTTATGAGCCGATGGTGGTGCGGCGCCGCCGGGCGTTGTAACCGGAATCGTAACGTTCTCCCGATCCCTGCCGTCCGGGCAGCAGCATCCTGAGAGTCAGTGCTGCCCGGCACTGGCTTGGCAGGGTCTACTGAGAGAAGCAGCGGTTGACGGTCGAAAAACACTGCTGTGAAGCAAACTGCTTATAACTGAGTTAGCCTGTCGTTTATTTTTTTTTTCAGAAGACCAACTGGGACCTGTTTTATTTAATTGGGTATTAAATAGCTTATTAAATTTATCTTTAACTCCGTCGGCCAGTTCAATTACCTATGCCATCATGCATAAAAATGGCATGTGAACAAATTAAGAAGACAAGTGCCGTTTTCGGCAGCATCACTGATCTAACTAAATACCGTTAACAGCATAAACGTATATACGTAAAGAAACACATACCAATGCGATCGAACCGACCGAAGTCTATGAGACAGTCGATGTCATCAACTGTCTACCGAGGCCTACCCTCGACCGGTCACCTCCACAAGAAGGAGTCCGCACTCGACCGACCTCCACCGCTAACATCCAGCAGACAGACGGTAAACTTCAGCACCGCCTCGCGACAAACTGAGAAACTTGTCAATTCATGCTTTTGGAAGCGCCAAACGAGGTGCATTTTCTACTGAAAGGCAAGCACCTCGATGGCGCCGTTCGACAGCTCTCAGAACTGAACTTGCGGCTTTAGAGGGCTGCTGGCCGCCATTTTATTCAACTTATGACGTCAGTCTGCTGATAAACGCACTGCTCATTTATTGATTTATCGTGTCATCTAACCGTCACCTCAGCGCAGATTTACCGTCAGCTCAGCGCAGATTTATTGGTTTACAATGCCGCTCGGTGTGCCTGCTTTTTTATTCAGTTAGAACATGCGTCATAGCTATGCATAACAGGCTTCAAATTGGTTTGAATTCAACGCATATGCTCAATGTCAAATGCTATGCAAATAGTCGGCTTATACCGAAGACCGATCCTATATTTGCATTGGATAGGCCGGACCGGCTGAGCTCGGCTGGCTGAAAGAAATAAGGAAAAGTTAAAAATGGAGTTTTATTACCGATCGTGGCTTCTTGCAATCCATTCACTCATCTAGATTAAGTTTTAACATTATTTGGCAGCCAGACGGCAATATTTTGCTGCTGAACAAAATTTATTCAGGCGGAAAGTTCGTTCAATGGAAAAAGCTATTCAAAGCCACGAAACGAAGGACATTTAGAAATGACTAAAACCAACTATCTTTCCCCCTCTCTCTCTCTCTCTCTCCCTCTCTCTCTCTCTCTCTCTCTCTCTCTCTCTCTCTCTCTCTCTCTCTCTCTCTCTCTCTCTCTCTCTCTCTCTCTCTCTCTCTCTCTCTCTCTCTCTCTCTCTCCCTCAGATGAATTCTGCCGTGGCTACCCGCACAATCTTCTACCCACGCCCGGCTACTGGATCGAGTGTGCCGGCCAGCCGCTGGACGAACACGTCATCTGGGACGCCGATGAGGGAGACGTCAGTGAAGACCAGGACGCCGACCTGGAGCCGCCGTCCGGAAAGTGTAACCAGACCGTACAGGTAGGTTTCGGCAGCGCGGGAGGAATTTTGGAGAGCGTGTCAGAAGGGCGCGGATAGACGGAGAGCGGATCTCTAGGTGTCTCGTTGGGATACCTGCCTCGTTTGGAGCTTTTAAATGAATGTTTTGTATAACATCAACCACACATTATTTCGAACCTGTGAAATAGATTGATACCGCAGCTTGTAAGCATTCACGCTGGTAGTCTAAAGATAACATCCTGGTTCAAAAGCTTTAATTAGTATTATCCTGTTCGTTGGATGACCTAGCGTGCCCTGTGCCGACCCAGGCCGGGTCGGAGGACGGTGACGACTACTCGCCCGCCTCCCACCGGCTGCTGCGCGTGCCCACCATACGCGCTCCCAACCGCGAGAAGACTCCCATCGAGGAGCACTTCGACAAGTACGGCACGTTCGAGCTCACATCGATCGAACAAGAGACGTTCGAGAAGTATTTCTACGGCACCGAGCACTGGAACTACTTCACTCAGGACGAGGACCTGGGGCCGATCATCCTGAGCTTGAAACAGGAGACCATCAACGGCAGGGACCAGTTCAGGTGAGACAATCCTACACTGCACTTATTTCAGCATGGAAGCAATGAAACATATTCAATTCATACAAAATTTTGCTCCAAGTCGTTAATCGACGCAGAGAACCCCATCCAGTATATTGGCTATTATATCTTGTGAGTGTGACAGGGAGGTATCTCGATAATATCATAAAGCAGTCAGGATCTTTTGACAGCTCCTTGCCGGTAAATCATGTAATGTAGCTCTGTCATCTGTGCCCGCAAGATCATGTATAAACATAGCTATGCGCCGAAAACATATGATATAACGTAAGTAATATCCATGAGATCGCGTCACGGAACGCTATGTCGGACGTCTATAGGATCCTTTGACAGAGCCTTGTGTTGCGTCGATAGGATCATGTTACAGGACGTTGTGTCAACAGGATCAAATGACAGTGTGCTGCTGCCGACAGGATCATGGTGCGGGCCATCAGCTACACGGTACACGGCCTCGTGCCGGCCTCGTGCGTGTTCGCCGACCGCTACAACCGCGAGGAGGTGGTGCGATCACTGGGCAACGAGATCAACCTGAACCCGCCGCTGCTGCTCAGCCAGCTGCCCGACATACCCGAGGAGCTGCTCAAACTCGACCAGGTGAGGGACTTCTGCTAGCTTCCCGACATACCAAAGCAGCTGCTCAAACTCGACCAGGTGAGTTGCTATACTAGCATGTCCACCGCCGTCGCTTCACGGAAGCACAGGCGCACAGGGTCGTTGGATAAGGGCAGGGGCCCGGGAACGATTTTCAAGTTGGGGGGGGCGAGCCTAAAATACCTGACATGATAGATATGAAACAATGGCGTAGCTAGGGGTCTAAGGGGACACATACCCCCCCCCCCCCCACCCCCGTTGGGTTCAAAGGGACCCTCGGGTCCGAGAGGCCCTGCGGCGCCATTTGGCCGCTGAGGGTTAACGATGGCCATATTTCTACTCAGAAGGGCCCCATGGGGCTCGTTAGAGCACCTCATGGGTCCTAAATAGCCACACTAAGATCTCCATAAGGTCCCCACGCCGACTCCTGAGGGCCTCTTGCGGCTTTTAAGGGCGCCTCGGTGGTCTCCAAAGGCCCGTTATTGGCCTCTGAGAGTTCTTACCGGCCTATGAGGGGCTAGTTCTAGGAGCGTTTCCCGCCTGTGATGGTCCCACACTTATTTTTCTGAGGGCCCCATAACGGCAAATGTGGGGCCCTCCGGCGCCTATGAGGGCCCACACCGGTGCCTCTGAGGGTTTCACACCCCCAACTCTGAGTGCCCACACCAGTGCCTATTAAAGCCCTATATCGGCGGCTGTGACTTTTGAGGGCCCCACACCAGTAACTCTGAGGGCCCCACCGGCGTCTGACAGTACCATGCCGGTCTCTAAGGACCCCACAGGACTTTTTCTGCCGGCCTAAGGACCCCTTGCCGGTCACTGAGACCCCCTGCCGGCTTGTAGAGAGTTCGCGTTAGCAGCTCTAAAGGCCCCTCACCCGTCTGTAACGGCTCCACCAGCGTCTATGAGGGCCCACAGCTACGCCTGTAAGGACCCTCATCGGCGCCTCTGAGAGAATCACACTAGCACCTCTGAGCGCCTACACCGGCACCTGCATGACGGCCCCACACCGGTGCCTCAAAGGCCCCTTACCGGCGGCTCTGAGGGCCCTACGCCGGTGACTCTGAGGGTGCTACCGATAACCGAAGGCACCACACAAGCCCTTAGTGTCGCTGAGCTTTCATCCCATACACGCCCTCCGAGGGCGCCACGTCAGTGCACTCATCGCCCCACACCCCTCCCTCACACCCGGAGAGGGTTAACTGTGTTATACCTACCTATAGCAACGATTTTACCACCGTTGTGCGTTATGTATTTCTCAAAGTTGACTCAAAATGGTCCAGTATAAAATCTGGCCTGCCAAACTTATGGCCAAAATCAGGTCCAAATCAAAGCGGGATGACAATAGCAGATGTTGTCAAATCGATACTGTATCAGCAGAAACCATACAGATGGCAAGGAAAATGCCGTGTGTTGATGTTTAGATGTGTAAAGAAACAAGAAGGAAAGAAGTCCGGAAAAGGAAGGCAAAGATCTTTTCTCGCTACCTCAATGTTGAGGGGGCGCCGCCCCCTCGGCTCCCAAGTTGGGGGGGCAAGCGCCCCCGCTGCCCCCCCTGTTCCCGGGTCTATGGATAAGGGTAGAGAGTAGAGACACTGCAGCATCGGATCAAGGTGTGGAGATGGATGGATTGTTAGTGCCCAAAGAAGTCACCTGGAAACATCGGTAAGAGCACGGCTGACGTGCCGTCCATGGACGGCTGTCGGCGGCACTGATGCGATTACGCGCCTCACCTGGTGCCCGCCGGCAGTCTGTGGTCTGCGGCGCACCGTCAGTCACACCGCGGCGACATCGATGGTGCCTGCCGGAGCGCGCCGCCGCGCGCTGTCTTTCACGTGCAGCGGCGGCCATTTCGGCCGCGGCCGATGTCTCTCTCGGCGCCAGTAATTGGCGGCTCGGGGTCGAATGGCTCCCGCGGGCCGGCAGATCGACAAATAATTGACCTAATGCCATCTGCGAGTGGACACCAATTGGTGCTGGTCACCACTCGGTCAGCGGCACCACTCAGTCCCCGCTGTGGTGAGTGGTGCTGAGACGACAGCCAGTGATGTCAGCTCCTGGAAAGACGTATGATAGAATCCACGCCACTCTCCCAACTTCTTAATGCTCGTGTGCTTTGCTCACTAGTGTCGCTGACGTCAGCTGCAAATACCTTCGTAAGGATATTCCCATACATATGATGGTATCACTGGATATTTTCTATTGAATTTGGTGAAAATAACAGGATGCACGAAACGTCTATCTCGACTTTTATATTGGTGATTTTAATTAGAGGTCAATTGGAGGAAAAATGAACTGATGAACAATGAATCAATGAATGTAGCTTTAAATGCAGCCCGGAATGCTCAAACCCAGACGTTCAAGACGACGTTATGTATCTGTCCATTGTGCCGAGCCGCTTGTTTGTGCTCAGGGAATTCGTTCCGAGAAGTCGGCCTCTATGTGGAGAGCGCTTCACAACCGGACCAACGGCTTGTCGGAGGCTGAGTCTCTGACAGAGTGACCCTAAGTGGCTGAGTGCGCCGTCCAGAGAGCCTCAGCGCAGGCTGATCCCCAAAAAGAGTCAATGGCTATAATTGACCATCCCAGCGGCTCAGTGGGGACAATGTCCGTCCGCGAGCCGAAAGGTGGTGAAAGGCCGGCTCGAGTCGCCCCGGCGCTCAATGTGCTACTGAATAGGATGGTCTGCAGTCGGTGGAAGTGGTTGCATTACCTACAGACCATGTTAAAGTCAGCCGGTGAATGTCTGACATATAACGTTAAACGTTCGAAATTCTGTCACCAGACTGCCGTTTGTCAAACAACTGGTGGAATCGGTGGCACAACGAAGAAACTCGACAGTGTGCAATGTGACTCGCACTTCTATAACTCGAGCGTTGAAATTAATTGTATTCTGTTTATGAGCGACCGTATATAACGAAAGCTTTATCTTTGTTTGCAGGTGTTTATCAAGTCAGAGCTCAAGGTGGGCGTTGTTTATGTAAAAGAAGGTCAATATACGGAGGAGGAGATTCTAGAAAACAACGAGAACAGCCGACTATTCGATGAATTTTTGTCGGTACTCGGCGACAAAGTACGACTAAAAGGTAAGCATAATTATTTGTGTGATGCCCATCCAGTGAATTCCCATTCCCACGTATGCCTCTCCAATCCTGTCAATTGGTCCTTCAATGTATTAGATACTTGGTGTCGGTGCTGATTGATATCCTCTGAGGAGCTTAGAGCTCAGCAGGGCTGATTAGACAAGGCAGACAAAAAAACTCCCTTTGAATGGATCATTCACGATTTAGGGCTCATATGCTGAAAGCTAAAATAAAACGGTCCCATCACTTGATTTCATTTGGCTACTGTCCAATTTGGTTCAATTCAGCAATTAAATATCGCTTCAGACTTTTGCAGTCTCAGCAAAACAATGGGCGGGACCATGCCTTCGTTCAGCGTTTAGGGCCGTTATCAGTGCGGTTCTGTGCGGTCGGAGCTCCCGGGAGTCAGTCTGTCCGGGTCGGCGGAGCCGGCGACCGACCGCGCGCCGCTCGCTCATCATTAGGTGAGCGGGAGCGGCCGACAGACACACTGCGCCAGATAGGCGCCTGGCACTCGCGATAAAACCGCACGTCGACGATAGAGTCGACTGCAGAGCACGTGGATCGCGCGCGACGCAACGGCCGCCATCTTGAATGGACTCTGAGAGCCTTGGCATGCGAGAATGAAAGAAGCGGCAGCAATAAACTAATATTGCGCTGCGGCTCAAAATGACTGCCGGATTTATGTATTTGCTTGGCGCTGGAAGCCGTATTCTGAAAGACGTGCTCAATGAGAGAGAGTGGAGCATTAATATGCGACCAGGGAACCCATTATTAGGCTTTCGATATCAAAGAAGACAACGAAGGTAGCCCTCGGGGAGTGATGATACTGAACCCTCGTTCGATTTAATCGATATAATAACGAATCGCCCCATGAGTCTTGTTCCTTCCGTCATATAATACAGTACGGGGTAGGAAAATGTTTTCAGCTATGTGAACGCTTTATCCCATATAGTATATTGATAGGTATGAAGCATTGGATCAGCCTTTAAGTCCAATAACAGATGAATCGATGCAAGTTATCAGATATCGTTTAGTGATTCAAGACGTACGAACCTACTCAGAATATTCAGATTGTTATGGCCACCTCTTTGATAGTGGCCGAAAATGGGAGAGGGGCTTATGCCGTGCCAGTTAGCCGATGTTTTATTTCAGGGTTTGATAAATACAAGGGAGGTCTGGACACGGTGCACGACCTCACCGGATTGACCTCCGTCTACACGCACTGGAGAGGCATCGAAATAATGTTCCACGTCTCCACGCTGCTGCCGTACGAGGAACACGACGCGCAGAAGGTGAGCCGGTCACAATCAACATCGTCTATGTAGATTTTATTTTGTGTAGGTAAAGGTTTGTGTTTACTGGTGCATGTTAATATTTTATTGATTCATTTACTTCTTAAATTCATTCTCGAGTAGCCCACCCATCAGTCACCACCCAATTACATACATGCTCGCATCCGTTCATACACCGTTTAGTTTTTTTTTGTGGTTAATCTGAGGGATGTATTTGATGTCCTTGCCGTTACTTCAATAGTCTTGCAAAAAAAAAAAAATTGTTGAGCATCGTGAACGGTAGGTACTATGCGTCTCATTTGTGACGATTTGACAAAACAACAACAACAACAACAACACCTGCTGCCTGCACAATGGACATGCAGGAACCGTGGCAAAAAGTTATTTTTTGTTGCATTTGTCTCCATTTCTAAGAAGTACAGCCGACTGATTCCAGTCCCGGAGATGATGTGAGAGTCTGAGACGCTCATATATACCTTAGGGCTGATATTTCCTTTTTACCAAGTGACATGCTAGTCTCGACATTCAACGAAGTCCATTAAACTGGGACGTAGAAGTGGATTATGGCCGCTTCAAGGCAGAAATGTCACGGTCGACACATATTGCACTATGTTCGTAAAAGACGGATGTTGTGGCTTGGTTATGATATTTCTCAGAAAACAAATGGATGCTGCGTCGCACCAAGAGCGATGTATTTACCAAAAGAGCGTCGCAAGGCACAGCACATCTGTTTTATTCACCCAGACTTAACTTATCCGTGGCTTCAGAGCAGCGTCGTGATAAACGTTTCTTCGGAATAACTCGATAGCGCGGTATAGTTACGCGTCATACCGCAGAGTATCGAGGTGTATCGGCCCGGACTCGCCGTTCCCGGGGGAGCGGTGAGGCTGATGCACCCGTCTCTGATGCCACCGGGACACGAGACACCCGGAGGAAATCAGAGCCGGACGCCCACAGGCGGGCGCCAGCCCGGGAGGCCATTCGATGATGACGCCGCCCACCAGGGTCAGTCGCGGTCGCGGAGGGACGACCGGGGCTGGTTGTGGTCGCAGAGGGATGACCAGGGTACGCCGGGTCGCACACGTCGATTGGATTGAGACCAGGGTTGACTGACTTGCTCAATGCTCAATGGTCAACCGACATAGGTAGTTCAAGTGCAGTCCGAGCAGCTTGCGGTGCTACTTCATCAGGCTGATAAGTCCGGCAGACTGAGTTGTCAGTCAACTATCAGTCATCTCCTTACCGTCTGAGATTGATCCTAGAGACGGCGCCGCCTCAGTCTGGTTCCCTCTGGTGCTAACTGCGCCGCTGTCGCAACTGCGCCGCTGTTATAACTGCGCGGCCCCAGTGCTGCTGTGTCGGCCCGTCTGAGCCTCTGACAGAGTTGTGTCGGTTCGTCCGACGGGCTGGCGCGCCCAGTCAGCCCCCTCCCTCCCCGGCAGCCCCGGCCCGTCCAGTCAGCGCCGACAGTTGGCACTAATCAGCCCCTCAGAGGCCGGTCGACCCGTCCAATCGCCGTCCCACAGACCAAACTCAGTTAGGACGATGACGGTCGCTTGGTGCAACAGTTCGGTCACGGCCCGCTAACGGGAGAGGCGTGGCTCGAGAGGCTTTACGAACGGGACGGGCGCAACGACGGCCGCTGCAACTGGCAAAGGCGCAGGGAGACGGGATGTTGGAGCCCTTCGCGTCGGTGGTGCTCCTCTTCACTGGGCTGTCCATCGAGTTTATGAGTCGAAATAGGCACCGATCACCACCTCACCCTTCAGCTTTCTTGGAATCTGACCTGACATTGACCTAAGATAAAGACACAAATTTACTTTTCCCATGGAAGGGCCATTCATTTAACGGTACGCCGGAAACGGACGGAACTCTCCCTGCTCAGCCGTCAGTGGCCTCAGTGACCGCGGCGTAGTAGGAAGCCGGACCTTCGAGCACCTGTCGGGTCGATGCACACAACACGAGGCGGTCTCCCATCTACATCGTCCGTGGGCTGCCTCGTGCCTAGCGCTCTGCCTCCATATGAATCATGTAACAAAGCAGAGAGGCAAAGCGATTCGATAAGGAAGTCATGTGAGTCATGAGACAAAACGCTGTTTAGGCCTGAATGTCTGACTTCTACTTCCTGTAGCTTATTGTTTATAAATTTAGATTACAGATAACCTTTAAGCGCTTTTGCGTCTCTGCGGTGTCCTGAGTAGAATTGACATCTAATTGACCCTTCACGCTGTAGGATTTCTGAATAAGTACTGGCCAGTGCGTATCGATGTTTCCTCAATCTCGGTGAGCATTACATCGGATGCGTCGCTCTGTTGTGCGTCCGCTCGCTATGGAGACAGCCCGTTATCGTTGGCCTCGGGAACTTCACAGAACGTTAGCGACGCCTCTTTTCTCGTTTACACACAAACAGGTGATGGCCAAAACCATATCAACGCGAAATATTGTGCTTGTTTCTTGCCGATTGAATAGTCACCCACTGCACACTCAGCACAGTACAAAAGAAATAGGTATCTTCTATCCAGATCGGGTATAATAGCATTTTATGTGTTGTCATGTTTTGACATGTAGGTATGTAGGATACTATCTACTATGTATGTAGGCATATGTTTTCTCCAAAGGCAGACTGCATCCGCGTGCGAACGACGGGATCAGATGTTCGTCGTCATCCTGCACGAAATACGCACACTTGTTGCACGGGACAGGAGAGAGGCGCCACGCCGAGTCCAATTTATGTTTCACAGACAAAGGGAGATGACCGATCTTTGCCTTGCACGGTGACGGTACTGCAGGATGATGTGCATTTCAAGCTGTTTTGCTTTTGGACATGGATACATGCAGATACATCATACATGGATATATGTTTTGCATTCATGGACATGGTACCTGGTATTCCATGTTTATTCAAATGTGACCTGTCACTTCCTGAAATGAGCGTCGCTGGCATTCCGCGTCTAACCAGGGAGTATTGTCGTGGACGTTTAGCTTCGAAAAGTTACAATTAGGTACCTCTCCACGGTTGTTCGGCCATCACCGCAGTACACCTACTAGGCTGACACATAACCGAATTAGACTTTAACTCTGATTCATTCAATACTGCATTTTGCTGGGACCCAGTAAACATGCCGACGTCGGCCCGACGTCGGTCCTCGGCACGACGTCGGCTGGATGGCGGATATGCCCGCATGTACCGACGTCCAGCCGAGGTCCAGCCGACGTCGGGCCGACGTCGGACCGAGATCAATTGCTGAGGTCCAGCCGACGTCGGGGCGACGTCGGACCGACATCGGCCGCTGTTTTGACCGTTAAAATAATATAAAATACATGTTTCATGTTTCATAAAGAGCTTCTGTATTCAAAATATCCTCAGGAAACTCAAATTTTCCTCCACGCCGCAACCCCCTGGGCCCTGATCCGGACTGGACGGGAAACTTAATCCCATTTGGGATTGCCCGTGAGCCGAGCTCGCCCGTAGCCGGGTGCGGTGAGTGCTTGGGGGCTGCTCGGCCTATCCTTTGGTCAGGCTCAGCCCCGGCAACTCGCCAGGGCCGGGCCCAGTTCATATAGAAAGGCGGAAGGCCAGTCGGCAAGTGTCACTTTGCCAAAGTGCCACTTATCAAAGGGACGCTTTGGGAAACGTTGGTGCAGGTGTGTAAGAGTGGCTATATGAATCCATTATGGGGTCGCCCTTTCCAATAAGTGTCACGTAACAGCAATGGGACCAGGGACTCTATATGAACTGGACCCAGGGTGCTCGCCAAGAAGACCAATGTCTCCATCCTATCATCCTTCCGGCTCTGAAATGGTCTTGTCAGACCGAAAGGGCATAGCCCAACAAAACAAACTTACTTTGTTATCTGGCTGTGTGGTGTAGTGGTTAGCGCACTAACCTCGCGTTCAAATGACACGTGGTTCGAATCCCATCGCCGGCTGATGCTTTTGGCGTGTTGTCCCAATAAACATGCCGACGTCGGCAACTGGGGGGCTCGAATCCCGCCGCCGGTTGATATTTTTGGCGCGTTGTCCCAATAAACATGCCGACGTCGGCCCCGTCGGTCCAACGACAAACGATCTCGTCAACCTCGGCAAACGACCTCGGCCCGACGTCGGCTCGACGTCGGCTGGACTTCGGCTGGACGTCGGAACATACGGGCATACCCGACGTCCAGCCGATGTCGGGCCGAGGTTGAACCGACGTCGGGCCGACGTCGGCATGCTTACTGGGGTGTTTGTGGATGGGGACATCGTTATTTTTTTATGCATACTTCCCTTTGTAATACATCTGATTAGCATAGTGTGCGCTAGTGCAGCTTATTTAACTAAGTTATCTGTTGTGTGTCCTAATTCACAGCTACAAAGGAAGCGACACATTGGCAACGACATTGTGTGTGTGGTGTTTCTGGAGGCGGACAACACGAGCTTCTCTCCCGCCTGCATCAAATCGCACTTCCTGCACACGTTTATCGTGGTCCGGACCAGCCCGAAAATCAAGTTCAAGCCCACCAGATATGAGGTGAGTCTTTGGTTTCATTAGCTTTTTGCCGGTAATGGCAGTTATAAAGGTTATAAATGTTTCATTATTTTTTTTTATTCCCAGAAGAAATTATTTCCGTCGGATAAAGCCCACAGACGTTTTCGGTACGCCTTTTATGTATGCGAAACATGACTATAATCATAGCACCATTATTTTTACGGTCGGCAGCTATGCGTCTCCCATGATTATTTAAACTATTTTCCTTTATATAGCCCTCCAGGCGCCCTCAAATGGGGTTTTGAAGGCTCAGTATTGAGCACAACTTTGTTCATTTGGGCTTTATTTCACGACGTCCCGCCGAGTTTGCGTATATTAACCGCGTCCGCAGCACGTTTCATCATGGCTATATACTGGCTATTCGGTTGTGTTACGAGCATGCGACGCCCACTGGATCGCTCATCGGCTTCGTGAAGTTTGGCCGAGGGGCGAGGTGCTCTCGTCGAGCCGCCTTTTCTGAAAGCTTCAGTCGTTGCCATTCTTAGGGCTGCCGGCCTAAGCTCTTGTCCTGTAGAGGACAGGTATACCTATTTTAAGCTCTTATTTATATCTCGAAGAAGATACGTAAGCACTCCTTTCTCGTAATTAATCCTGCAGGCAGCGATGCTGCTGACAGCTTGGTTTACCTAGGTACTTGCATACATAGTTACTAAAAACAATTGCTTCGATTCTAACATTAATAGTGTGATAACAGTGTGACAACTGACAATGTGTCAACGATTTTGCGCTGAAGTCTATTTTCTATTCTGGACGGACAAGCCATGCCAAGTATGACGCAGTTGTGCGCCTGTCAGGGGAGTAATTTCGTCACATCCTGACAGCATACGCTGCCTGGCACATACCAAACTCGCTCAGAGCATAAAGGCCAGAAGCATTATAGCCACGCGGCGTTCTTCACGTTGGCTGAGAATATCTGAGCTAATGAAGTCCCTCAGCGAAAGACACTCGTATTAATAACTTATCTTAGTTTTCATGTGTGACATATAACTTATGTCTAAATGTGTCAAGGACGTGATTTTATTAGGCTTCACAAGTCGGTGCCGTGCTTTCCATGATTAATGCGCCACTTTAGCAACAGCACATGACTGACCGACTGACCATACTCATATAGGTAAGTCCTTTATAGAGTCTAAAACAGCGCTTTTATGTATATGCAGACTGCACTGTGCGTGCACTGTGCAGGCTGTTGGAAGACAGAGGGTTTCCACATAAGTGGGTTAGGTACTTTTTAGTTACGTTAGGCTACTAAATAAAACCAAACACTGCTTACCAACATGGCACTAAAACAGTTGGCAACAAGGATAAGAGTTAGCACCATATTAATATTATATTTGAACAATTACACCTAACTTCCCACCACAAAGTCGTTATCGCGCACTGTGTATGTCAGGGATCGGCTCCTATGAAGCATGAAAAGCGATCTACCTGATAGATGGAGCAGGTCATTGGACCGGCGAGAGGACAGAGGTGCCGCTCTAGTTCACCTCGTTCGGCGTAATGGCTCAATGGCTGTAATTAAACACACCATTTCAAGGCAGCTCCACAGTGTGTGGAGAATTACACAGGCTTTGTAATGTTCGGAGCCAATCAGCTATCAATCAAATGAAGTAGGTACGTAGCCGGTAAATCAATACTTCCAGCAGCCAATGACGCAGCTATTACTTGGAAATATTTATGCAACGACCTCTAGTTGTCCGACCTTTTAACTTGCATTTGAACCTCCCTCCCCTCCCACAAAAAAACCTGGAGTACTTTCCGTCCAGAACGGTTTTGAAAAATGTTTAAACCTAGGTGTAGGTTGCCAATTGCCGCTTATTGCTACGTTTTACTATATGGCCCCGGGAGGCGAGCTAAGTCAAGAAATGTCACCAGGCACCTGTCACCCTCCAGGAAGCAGGCTGGAGGAGTGACAGGAAATTGCTCTTCCCGTCACTTTCTGTTCAGCAAAGTCTATCACCAATCCTATAGCGCGAAACAAATAAATATGCCTTTCTGAAAATAACAACGGAATACGACGGACCTGCGAGAACCGTATAAAAGCCGTGGATATGTCGCCACCCGCGGTATGTGACTCGCCTCTTCCTCCGACAGGTGTCTGTGGTGTCCAGGGACGAGGTGGGCGCCTACAAGCCCTACCTCTGGGAACAGTCCACCTTCGAGAAGGGCGCGCTCTTCAGAGAGTGGATCTGCACGAAAATCGTCAACGGCGAGCGGGCCAGCTACTCGGCACCCAAGTTCGCGCGCATGCAGGAGCGGACCCGCAGTCAGATGCTGGAGGACATAGTGACGAACGTGCAGAACCACGCCGAGACGGGACAGATCCCCAAACCGTACAGGTAATTACGTAGGTACTAGGTATCTTGACTTACGGCGCGGAAAAGCCACTAGTGTTTGTGGAGTGCCGGTGATGGTCAATACAATAGGTACAGCCATTGATGTCACAAGAGCCAAGTTTTTTTCGTATCCATATCTAAGCTTGGTTACAAACCCAAGTTTGCCCATTCATCTTATTTAGGATTGATAGTACAATATTGAAATACCTAATAGGTATACCTAGACACATATCACCTTTTGAATGAATTGGTCATGTCGTTAGATGGAGGCAAATATGCACGCAATTGCCACCAAAACATCTAAGCATGCTTTAAGCGATGACGTCATGTAACAGACGCCCTTTTCACTATTCCTTTTCCATGCTATTCCATACACGGTCAACATGTTTGACGTCGATGTTCGTGGATCGTGACTCGGACCTCTGACGTCATGTGTGCCCCAGACGCGGCTCGTGGCGACCCATCGGCCACATGCGGCCGTCCTCACCTCTGCTGGACTCGGTCCGTGACCTGTTCGAGGGCTACGACCAGCTGGCTAAGGACTTCACCAAGGCCTTCCACAACCCCGAGGAGGGCAACGTCCTGTACGACGTCACCTTCCTCGTCGGCCAGGGCAAACAGAAGACGCGGATGCACGGCGTTCGGGCCATCTTGGGAGTCAGGAGCAGGTGGGCGGCAGCTACAGACGACTATGCCTATACTATACATTGAAATAGGCTATCTTGTTTTCATAACACAGCTTACTGGCAGAGTATCGGTATTATAGTGGATCAGTTTTTTTCTACATTATTTTGCTCCAGGACTCATTGTTGGAGCGGCAGAGCTTTGATTCCCAAATCAATTTGTCTCGAACCCTGCCACTGCTTTTTATCCTTTAGCACACGGTCATGTCCGTTTCGTGTGTCTGCCTGCGGTGCTACTGGCCCGCCTTTCCCCGCTGACAGTCCGCGCCGTCCCGGCCCTCCCCGCGTCAGGGTGTTCCAGGAGATGCTGTACGGCTTCAGCACCGGCTTCGGCTCGCCACAGGTGTCCGTGGCAGACATCCTGGCGCGCGCAGTGCCCACCCTACACAGCCCCTCACACAAGCCGAAAAGCTCCAATTTCCTGCAGGTGCCCGACATTGAGTCGCCAAGGTGGGTGCCTTGTGATGGGTCATGTGACGGGTTGTCAAGTCTGTTCAGAGGTGCTGTGTGCTGTATCTTCTCCATGTTGTGTTATACATAGTGGAAGGGTGTAGGTGGGATCGGTGGGATGTAGAAACGAGATTTTGTCTTTCCACGTATTGCAGCAAGGCACTTGGTGATTTTCCCGTCCCCATCCGGCTCAGACGACGTTCGGAAAACTAATATCACCGTGGTAATGCATCTGCGGTATACTTATTTGCCGTGGAAAACTGAGTCATACCAAGCGGCAAGCATATCATTTATCAGAATTTATCTTGTGTTAGCTGATGTCGTCCGTAACCGCATTTTGTTTCCCACAAGACTGAATCAGTGTATATCACTGTGACTAGCGACGGACTAGGCAATTTAGCTTCTTCGGACTCACTAAATTGTGCTAAGATGAATCCAGAAGGCCCAGAAGGCGTGCACCTACCTTACATGGTGATTTTTTCATGTATTTCTTATCAGAAAGCAGTCTGAAACTCTGAGGATTTTCATTAGGGCGGGTAATTTATTCCGGAGATCTCCTATCAGCAGGCTAACATGACGTTATCTCTAATTTGTAGTTACTGAAGAAATACAATGCAGCGAACTAAAATCATGTCAGATTACCGGTGTTATTGGCCAGCTGAACTTAATACTCTCGTCTCAGCTTTGTAAGGAGCTTGTGAAGGCACTAATGCCCAAAGTGTAGCTTGTTTTGCGCTTGCACTGGACCTCATCTGATGACTTATTTAATAAGCGCTTCACCGAACAGCAATCACTGATATGAAGAGATGGCATTTGCTTCTTGCTGTCGGGTTGTGTTACATTACATGCTGGTCCATCATTCTGAAGTGTCCTCAGGTGAAGTACATACACGGGCATCACTCACAGGACTTTTGTTTTAAAGACTATCCGAGCCCGATGTTAAATGATTGATATTTTCCTTCCAAATCATGTCCCGATCGGCCTACTTTAGTAATTCCACTCTCGATAATGCGTTTACCTGCTAGTGGTTAGGGCGATGAATGGTCCGGTAGGTCGGTTTTTTTTAATCCTGCCTTTGTACTCTGCTGTATTTCACGCCGGGACGTTTTGTGTTTCTATTTGCGGCAGGCCCAAGAGCGTGCCGAACTCCCCGATGGTGATCCGGGCGTTCAACCGGCTGGGCAGCATCACCGCCGGGTGGGGACGCACCAGCAAGAAGCCGCCCGACGCCGGCCGCCTGTCTGTCGACGACAGGAAGAAGTGGGCCAGCAACCAGGACTGCTCAGGTCGGTGGATCGGTAATCATTAGCCAGGATCAATCGGATAAGTACTATGTTGGAGTAGTTAGGTCAAATTACAGGATTAATCGGATAAGTATTAAGTTGGAGTAGTTAGGTCAAATTAAACATTTTTTTGAGACATGTATGAAAAAGGTTTAGCATTAGGAAGGTTTATACCCGTGCTTCAAACATTCGCAAATGACCCGGACATTGGAGGAGGTCCATTTCTGCGCGGTTCACGGTGCCATTAGAGACCTCTGACAACACCTGCCTCGTACCGACAGATAAGACCAAGGTGGACCGGCCGGGCGGCGGCCACCTCTGCGCGCCGCCGACGCAGCAGCAGCCGCAACACCAGCTGGCCGTACCGCGACTGTCCGTCTGCGCTGACGAACAGAAGGTGGACCGCTCCAAACTCTGCCAGAGCGAGGTAAGAACGGTACCAAACTCTGTTAGATTACTAAACTCTGCAACTGCCAGAGCGAGGTAAGAACCGCTCCAAACTCTGCCAGAGCGACTACGGAACCCAAACTCTGCCGGACCGCTCCAAACTCTGCCAGAGCCAGGTAAGAGACCGCTCCAAACTCCGTCAGATAGAGGTGAGAACGATTATAAACTGTGCCAGACCGCTCCAGACTCTGCCAGAGCGAGGTAAGAAGTAAGAACCGATCCAAACTCTGCCGGACCGCTCCAAACTGTGCCAGAGCGAGGTGAGAGACGCTCCAAACTCTGCCAGAGCGAAGTAAGAACGGCTCCAAACTCTGCCGGACCGCTCCAAACTGCTAGAGCGAGGTAAGAACGGCAACGAACTCCGTCAGAGAGAGATAAGAACCACTTCAAACTGTGCCAGAGCGATCCAAACTCTGCTAGAGCGAGGTAAGAACGGCTCCAAACTCTGTCGGACCGCTCCAAACTCTGCCAGAGCGATGTGAGAACCGATCCAAACTCTGACGGACCACTCCAGACTCTGTCAGGGCGAGGTAAGAACGGCTCCAAAGTCCCGGACGCTCCCTGAACTCGAACGGAGGTGAGAACAGCTGCCAGAGCGAGGTGGGAACGGCAACGAACTCTACCTGAGCGAGGTAAGAACCGTTCCAAACTCCGTCAGCGAGAGTCGAGAACGACAACAAATTGTGCCAGAGCGATCCAAACTGCCAGGGCGAGGTGAGAGCCAAAACTAGCTCTGCCAGAGCGAGGTAAGAAAGGTAACTAATTTTCAGAGCGGGTTGAGAACTGCAACGAAGTCTGCCAGAACCAGGTTAGAGCTAAAACAAACTCAGGGCGAGGTGAGAAGGGCAACACACTCTGACAGAGCGAGGTAAGAGCCAAAACATACTGTGCCAGAGGACTACAAACTCTGGCAGAGCGAGGTACAGTCGTGTACAGGTTGATGGTCCCCTACTCTTTATCCACCGGGTTCCTATGGCTCAGCATTGGCAGCAGCCGCCTGGTACCGGTAGGCTGTGCCGCATGACCCGAGAGTGAAGCGGCACAGCCTACCCACACTGTATGACACCGGCTCGGGTCGCCTGGTAGAGCGATTTGACCGGACGCTGCGTTACACCGGCTGGGGGAGGGGGGGGGGGGGGGTAAGGGTCAGGCCTGTCTATTTGGCTCGGCTCGGTGGATGAGGCGGGCTGGAATGTGGTGTGGGGCGGGGGTGATGTGGGGAGGGAGTGAGCGGACCTGGGGCTGGGTGTGAGTGGTCACTTGTCGCGTAGAACCGATCGTAATCCACCCTCCAAAAATTCGCTTTAGAGATATTCACAAAACCCAGGGGGGTTCAAACACCCATCTCCCAAGTGGGGTGCGGAAGGACAGGTAAGGGTCCATACGGTCTCCTCATGAATTGCAGCAAAGAAAGAAAACAGACCTGTCACCAAATAATCTTTCTGAAAAGTGGACTAATCGCATAGCCTCGGACACAGAAATAAACATCCAGCACGCGAAGCGTCTCGAACCGGGCCTCTCACTACCGGTCAGTTTGACAGTCTAGCACTCCTACGCTGAGCTACACCGGATGGTGGCCACGGCCGGGGCAAAGTCTGGCCGGGCGGGCGGCGGGGCCGGGAGGTCGGCAGCAAAGTCAATGAATGTTTTTGTGGTTTCGGGTGCCGGTCGCTCTAGCTTGGTGGAATGATGATGGATCATTGGCAAAACTTTCAACGTGGAGTCCCGGTTCGAGCCTCATCGGGGCTCCGGTTACTTTTCCGAGTTAGGATCTGGTTTGATTTTAGTGGTTGCGAGCCATTTATACGGTTTTATATCTACATGTCGATTTTCGATTGATTGATTGATTCATTCATTCGTTCATTTAATACATGTCGACATTTAGCATACGAATTGACATCCAGGATCAATCCGATCAATCTACCATTTTCATAAGCGTATTGCCTAAATATCATGCAGTGGCGGATCCAGGGGGGGGGAGGCAAAATGGGCATTTGCCCCCCAAACGGCATAATTTTAACATTACGCGTCGCCTATGGACGATGCATGGAAAGAATCGATAAATTTTATGGTTTGCCCCCCCCCCCAAAAAAAAACTCTGAGCTGGATCCGCCTCTGATATCATGCATATATGTGGCACAAGACCTATGGTTGCCTCGATACCGTGCCAAATCACGTTTTGCACGATGCACAAGTAAATTATATTCGCTGGGTCTTCCGTGCATTGTGCTTAGCAAAAACAGGAAAGCAATGCAAATGCGAATGCGACGCAAAATGTGCAATGCAGCAAGTGACCACACACACCTGCCCAGCCCCCATGGTCCACCAACACGCCCCACACCACTCGCCAGCCCACGCCAACCACCGAGACGAGCCCCTCCCCCGCGCTGGTCTGACGCGACAGCTGGTCTACAAAGCGCTCCACCCGGCGACCCGAGCCGATGTCAAACAGCGTGGGTAGACTGTGCCGCTTCACTCTCGGGTCATGCGGCACAGCCTACCGGTATCAGGCGGCTGCTGCCAATGCTGAGCCATAGGAACCCGGTGGATAAAGAGTAGGGGACCATCAACCTGTACACGACTGTACGAACAGCAAGAACTCTGTTAGAGCGAGGAAAGAGCGGCAACAAACTGCGGCGAAGTATGTCACAGCGACCAGAACTCTGCCTAAGTGATCTAAGAACCGCTCCAGAGTTAGGTACGCACGACCCACGGCCGCGGACTCCATGCCCCGCCAGCGCGTCCGATGAGCACGCTTGCACAAGCTGTCCCAGGACGCGCTAATGCATTTAGCCCCATTCGGCGTGTTACGCGTACCCGTAATTCTCTGCATTTGCAATGAAAGGGCTTCGTATCGCGCGAATAACTTTTTATCACAGTAGTTCCCCGAAGATGGAGAGGCCTCATCACGCGCTGAATAGTCTACTTTGAATCAAGGGCCCATCCAATACTGATGGTGGTCTTTGGCTTCTCATTGACAAGTTTTCGCAGAACACATTTTTTTGCGCCGCTTCTCTTCTTGACTTCACTTACGTCACGCTAGCGTCATAATAGATGTCTGATGTTAGCGACCCCATTTCAGCCGTCACATCAGACGACATACCATGCTTTACATCACGCCATACGTCATACGCAAATGCTGCTACCAAGTTCTAAATCCCCCGTATTACGTTTCAGTTCATGATTATCGAGTTCGAGGCGGATACATTCGGTGTGTTGCTCGACTACCTCCATCACGGCTCGTGTCCGCTGACCTGCACCAACGTACCGGGCCTGATCTGCGCCGCCGAACACTACGACCTGCCCGAGCTACTGCAGGCCTGCTTCCACCACGCCAAACAGTTCCTCCGCGTACAGGTGGTGAGTTGGTGGGATGGTCGGTGGAGGCTGGAGAGGTTGGGACTGACTGACTGATGAGGGAGGCATCAGGCAAGCTATGCTGTTGTAACGGGCGAAAACGCTATCTATTTATTGACATAACTCTGTTTATTTATATGTTTCCTCCAAATGTCTGGCCTTTTACCAAAATTATCTATCAGGGGTTACACGGTAATCGGGTTATCGGGTTGACGGTCATAAGTCGGCAATTCACGTCCCACCGGGATATGACTGAGACGTGGCGATCTCCCGTCTGTCACAACTCTTGCCACACCCCTCCCGGAGCTAACTGACACTCGTACCCCGTCCCCATCAGGTGTGTGCCATGCTGGGAGCGCTGGAGAACTACTACTGGCGCTACACGTCCGCCTCCGAGCTGGTCAACATGATTCTGGCGTTCATCGAGACGCGCGCTGCTCAGGTCAGATTGGCAGACGGTCAGACTGATGGAGCAGGCTGGGGGTATGGTAGCTGGGTAAGACTGAAGGAGCCGTGGCACTGGGGTTGGGCCAGACTGACGGTTAGGTAGGGTCATGTCAGAAGAACCAGGACAGACTGAGCAACCCGCGGCAATAGGGCTGGGTCAGACTACCGGAGTACGCTGTGACAGAAGGGGAGGAGTCAGACTGACGGGGCCGTAGGACGAGGTCGAACTGATGACACCGCGGCAGTACCGTTCCAGCTCTAAGAATAGTGAACCTCGCGGCCCGGTGCAGCCAGCACTCTGCCAATTCCTACGACACCGGACGGTGTGGGTGATCGGGCGCTTTGACAGCATGTCACGGGTGGTATCAGAGCACCCACGACTGTCTAAAGATACCGCAGAAACCTGTCTTCCCGTACCAATGGCGCCACAGCCTGATTCCCAGAACAGGCCTGAAAATAGCGAGTCTGATCGACAGCACCAGTACTAGAAACGTGACTCTGGTGTCGGTACTGGTAACATACGTGGCCTCTGGCCTGATTCAGAACTGGTAATGACACCCTGACCCTGACCCTGATCCCGAATACGGATAATACCGGTACCCTGATTCCAGCACCGGGTAATTTCACAGTTACCCTGATCCCAGCATCGACTGGTAAAATATCCGTGATCCATGACCCTGATCCCAGCTTTGGTAAAAAACCACCGTGGCCCTGGTCCACTGTGCCGGTAATATCACCGTGACTCTGATCCCAGTACGTGTAATTATCATCGTGACCCCGTGATCCTCCGGGTTCACGGGATGCACCGATACCCTGATCCCAGTATGACTGATAGCGACTGATCTGAATACCGGTAATAACACAATGACTTTGTGAGCCAGTGCATACTGGTAATCTGCTATATGCGATTCGGTTGAAAAGCCATTGTTTGTGTGGGATGATACGGCTAATGGGAGAGGCAATCATATTTGATAGGCATAAGCTAGTGAAGCTAGGGGTTGTTTGGGACATTTCGCATCGCCGAACGGTTCAATGATCGTCTGAATGTCCCGGATGTTGAGTGTGGCGCAGTTGATGCGCACGATGGTTACATTCAGCCTACTGGAGCACGATCACTTCTGAGCCCCGATCCCTTCTTGATTATACAGACTTCCATTTCCCCTCTCTTGTTTAGCGACCTCACATACGCGCTGTTACACATTGTCCGTTCATTGCCAACGACTCGCACCTGTACCCCTCCCTGGGTCCCCGGATCGTTTGGAGAAGAGTTCTGTTATTCAAGTGACGTTTGCGTGTCTGTAACCTTAGCCTTGTATGTGTTACCTTGCTCTTCTGGCCTGTGCATGTAATCTGTGCGCTCTGAGTGCTGCCTTGCTCGACAGGTCTGTTCCTCTTTGTGACCTGTGTGCCCTGCCGCCGTGTCCCTCAGGTGTTCCAGTCCGCCGACTTCCTCGGTCTCTCCGAGTCCATGGTGCAGATGATCATGTCCCGCAACCTGGAGACACCCGAGATCCGCAAATTCGAGGTGATGCTTCAGTGGACCAAGCACAAAGTGCGCACCAAGGCGCCCAACCGGGTCGACGCCCGAATCGAGTTCAAGTGCACCATGGAGCGACTGACTCGGGACCTGAAACTGTACCGCATCTCGCCCCAGGAGCTCATCAAAATCGTCCTCCCCAGCAAGGCCATCAAGAACGAGCGTATCCTGGAAACGCTCATGTTCCAGGCCAACTCTGGCATGTACCGCATCCAGGACAGCTATCTGGAGGCCTGTCAGCAGAAGATGAGTCGACAGGACTCCAAGTTCAGCAGCGAGTGGGGCTCGTTCGATAACGGCTTGTAGCCGCGCTGGCCGGCCGGCCGCCGGTGCCTGATACGCTTACAGACTCAACTAGATGTAGCCACTGAATGTATTTTCGTAATGGCGCGGGTGCGCCGAGTGTCGCTTTTCGTGTGGCCAGTGTTGGGTGGCTGGCGAGGACCATGGGCTGTCTGTTGGCTGGCAGGGGTGGTCGCCGGTCAGTGGTGTCTGCTGTCCTAGCTGTGTGCGGCTGCAAGGTGGTCGCTTTGGCCGAATACTCGTATGTCGCCATTGACGGCCCAGTGTGCATACGTTGTTCTCGACAGCGACAAAGTGTCACCATTCCCCGACGCAGCACACCGTTTGACCTCAGTGTGTCGATACAGCTTACCCGATTCAGACCAACAGCAGTGCACGTTCAGCGGGAAACAGCAGAGAAGACTGACCGGCGACCCTCCTAGCCAGCCGACCCATGGTCCGATGCTGGTTCTTACCCGGTACACAGCTCCCAAAACGGAAAGCGCCAGTTTGTTGTTAGAGAGGTGTTCCATTCCTGTTGGCTGTTGTGTTGAGTGTTCGAGCTTGTTTTCTGCATATTGTTCTTATGTAGTTGTTGTATTTTTGGATGGATTTTATCGTTGTATACCGTGACTGCTACTCATTTGCTATGCGACAAACATTTATGTACTCTGACGATTCTATTGTACGCTCTGTATCTCCAATGTTAGGGATCGACCTACTTACGATGTTTCGAAAAGCGAAGTTCAAGATGTGTTGCACTTGAAGAAGAAAATTACTGTGACTACGCTTACTTAATGACAACAGTTATACATGGTACGACAATGCAGTCAACGGTTCGATGTATGTTGTCTCCTCACCTCCATGTAACTGGCTGCCACATACGACCATTCCATGCACTGAGTTGGCATTTTGCGCGCAGAATTTTTACGTTATATTGGTACAGTCACGTTATCTGTGTATGGTATGAGTGAGAAACCGGTAAGATGTGAGAACATGCTAGAGGTCAGAAGGATGGAGGGTGAGATTAGTTACACCGTTGTCCCTTGCATTGCTGTAAGCGTGCCTATATGTATATCGAACGTTGTGCATGGTGTAAGTGTCCAGATTGTTCAGTGTGGAGCGCAAGTAAATGGTTACTCAGAGTAAATGACTACCTTCAAACTGAGAGAGACTGGCGCAAGTGCAGGGATACTGGGACTAGAGGCAAACTTGGTTCGACTGACGAGACATGATGTGCAAATTGTGTGTCAGCGAGTACTGGATACGACTGTAACCGCGTGCGTGTGCTGAGAGAAAGCGTAGGAACCCAGGCAACCAGCGCACAGCAACTCACATGGTGTTATGTCTATTTTTGTAAATGCTGCTCGAAAATGATAATCGAACCAGAGATGCTGTCTTTTGCAAATACAAACACACTTGTTGGTGTAATGTGTTTATGTGGACCGATAAATGCAACAATTTTTGATGTAAAAAAAGTATTTACACTCCTATTAACTCCAAATTTCATCCTAACTCTTGTTATATCGCATCATGAATTATAGGGCTAATGAACGTATAGCTATCAGTGCCGGGTCAGTCAAGATTTCTCTCGACATTCGTGCCAGCCGAAACAGTTCTCAGAGCGCCACGTCAACATGTTTTTAGAACGGCAGTGTGCGGTTTGACCTTCTCGGTATTCCCTCTGTCTCCTTTTAGCAATCCTAAACGAGGACTGATGCTGAGGGCAAGCGCTGTGTGGGCGTTAGATAAGGCACCGAATGTTTCTAACCTGTGGCGAATGAAAGGTCAGATGAAATCACTGCGGTCGCGCAACAGGTTTTCGAGCCCCTCAATAATGTCCCTGAATTATATCGGAAACCAAAACTTCTGATTGGGTTCATGGCCATCAAAGGTCATGACCATAAAGACCGGAACGACCAGTATTGCATTGTACGTAAGTTGATTAACTGGGCGCAAATGAGCTGATTCTGAAGCACCGATGAAGGCACCCGTGCAATGAAGGCACGGAGACCGACCAGGTCAACCCACCCCCTTCCGTTAGCCCTCGCCCGCACATGGGGGGGGGGGTGGTTGCCACCCCCCCCCCCAGGTAGTCTTTCTGCTCTGCACTCAACATTTTTAGCGCTAGAACGCTGATTTTTCGTATAGCTGCTCCTCTATCCTTTCTTGATGTCCACTGAAAATTTCAAGTTTCTGTGATTTTTGGTTTCGGAGATATGACCTTGTTTTTCAGGTCATGTCATGACCCAAATGGCCAATTCTCAACATCTTGCGTTTGCCATGGGTCTTGCGAGCTTTTGACACCCTGATTTCGGCCTTTTTTGCCAGTATTACCTCCCACCTATCATGGAACATGTTGTTTGACGATGTACAGGGGTCAAGGTCAGGGTCAAGGTCAACCTAGGTCATCTAAGATAATTACGTTTTAGGCAAGCTGAATTTACTTTTTTTGAATTTTTTTGACTGCATTTTTGGTAAAAGCTTCTCAGAGCATGATTTCATGTAATATGGACCCGAAAACAATCGGTGCACACATCAGTATACACACAGACACACACAGACATACAAACACATATAATTGACCTTGACCTAACTTGACCTGAAATGACCTCAGCCGCAAAATTCTGGTCGGGTAGTGTGACAAAGAGGTTCTAGCTGGCCTGGCACCAGAAAACAGCATCGTCATCGGTATTTGATAAGCAGCGCACTTGATATCCAACGGTGACCCAAAACAGCAACATTTTTTAGTTTGACCTGACCTGGAAGGTCAATGACTGACCTGAGAAGATAAAACTGGGTATCATTGGATTCGTCTCTTCCCAAAGAATCTTTTTGGTCTTTACCGCTAAGCTCTATCTCCAACAGGAACGAAATGGCGCGGGGGGGGGGGTGGCAACCCCCCCCCCCATGTGCGTTCTAGGATGGCAAAATGGCATGTGCGGGCGAGGGTTAGGCTTCAGTAGCCCCCTACAACCACCACGGAGAGAGCTACCCGAGCCGACTGCGGCCGCCCGGTGACTTTCGCCCTCACCCACTCAGCACCCCCACGCAGGGACACACCAATGACTGCATGCCGAGCATCCGGTATGCCGCATAGGCCATTTGGGATGCCTTCGTGTCGCCCGATTACGCAATATCGGACGTATACGGCGCTAATACACCGTCATAGCGTCGGCCGGATGGAATGGTCAATGAGAGCTTACACCATGCTGCCTCATCTTTCTCAATGTGTGGTGAAACGATCATTTGCAGGTAGTGTGGATTTTTGGTCTTTTGATGGACCTAGCTAATTTTGCATTTTTAGTCACTGTCATTATTCAACCCTCGAGATGAAGACAAAGTCGATACACAAACCTTTTATCCCTTTTATACCATGTCAGAACAGAGTAAAACCAAAACAGAAATTTTCGTTTTCATTCAAACATTAAAACTGAAAAAAGCACTCAAACTATTCCTTTTCTGAGCTCATCTTCATGCAGGAGACACATTTCAAATTCAACTGCAATATTTTTAGCAAAATAAATGATTATGCTGCGTCGAAAAATGATATGGTTCTAAACTTATGCGAGTGGCTGGATTCCCTAGTTATCGCAGATCAAAGGACAGATGAATGTGCCAGTAACTGACGGTTTCCATCAGGCATCAGCCCAGATGTCACCGATGTTGCCACTTCAAAAGACTCGCATTCCCGCTGTCAAACACATCAAGAACGTCGGTCCACCCGGAACTGCCCCAGTTTCAATCAACGCTAGCGAATGTGTCAGTGCCAGAGCCAAATATAGTGCCACGAGGACATCCATTAGATCAAAATTTACCGTAGAGCACGAAAACAAAAAAGGGGGTAATCGAAGAACGGACCTTTATTCCAATCTCCAACACCGACCGACGCGAGCGAGACAGGACCCGAGTTTGGCCACCACAGGGACCGACAGCGGCCTACAGTTTCAGTTGGCTGAGCTTTTCGCTCACCTGGATCTGTGTCTTGGTCAGCTGAGACAGGTACACCACCATCAACAGGTCCTGTGGACGGAGAACGGGCGCGTGGAGCGGTCAGTCACACGCAACAGGTCGGAGCTGCGGACGGCCAACGGTTGGTCACGTGGTGAGTCCTCACATGGCGCTGTGCATGACATCCGCGACCACGTGACTTATGGGGTATCCGTAAACAGTTTGCTGTGGCAAATTACTCGGTAATTCACTCGTTCAGTGTGGACCTCCTATCTAATGAGGGATTAAACTTTACATGTCAGGTATAGCAGCTGCGGGCGATGGCACAAAGTCACAGAGGGCATCCCAGCACCGGATGCAAGCAACCCAACTTAAAATGTTAGGTACCCGAAACTTTGTGAACATATCCTAGCATATGATGTTTACGGGAAATGTTTCACTCAAGTGGTAGGGTGAAGTCGTATAAGAGTACGCACTTAGTGGATTTCTTGCTCTCATTTGTTTAATATTTGAAGGAAAGAAATCGCAAATAGGGAATATTAAAGTTCATTGAATTAGCCATCAACCCATGGGGCAGCGATCCTTCAGCGTAAATGGAAGTGGTCTAAAACTGACATTTTCTGAACCGTTGCACTTGCGTACTCTTACCATATGGGGTGTGTAAGAGTACGCACGCCAGGCGGGTGGAGTACGCAAGCATATGAACACACACCTATGCAGCTTGCACTGTCCAAATGCTTAACTTCAAACTCAGAAGGCATTTAAGTTAATTCTAGTATCCAAAAAGAAAAACATAAAATAAATCTTTCAAGTCTATAAATCAGGAAATAATCATGTCGTGTGTTTCTTAAAAAAAAAATGCACAATCAAAAAGGAGAATAACTGGTATTTGGAAGAATTTCGGGTACGCATCTGCATCACAGTGCTCCATTGATGATATACCTACAAAACAAACGTCATTGAGCGATAGATTAACAATTCTATATTTCTGTATATTCGATTTAATGTATAATTCTGCGTACTCTTACCCTCCTGAACAGTGCGTCCTCTTACCGTACATGCAATTCGCGCACAAAACAACCCCGAAACGTTGTGCAAAACTTCGCAAACAGAATATTGCACTGTACAGTATTTCCCCAGATAACCTCACAAGTTTCCCACAACAATCACGGAAATGTACCTTATCTCAACTGCCAAGTATCAAAATTATTGTACCATATCATAATAATATCATAACGCTCGAAAATAATATTCATCGCCCTAAACTCAACAGCGTCGCCGCTCAACGCCCGCGTTCCGTTGGTGACATGCACGCACTGGCGGCTTCATGTCACTTCATGAACTCGACAAACCCGCGTTGCTAAGTAACCGAAACAGCTGATGCGTACTCTTATCGCCCGCGTACTCTTACCCGCCCTTACCCTATATCGGCATTTTAATATAAAAATGGCATCAAAACATGCTAATTAACTTCAGGTATGCTGCAAAGCACGGATGCTGCTGTTTGGCTTGGCTGGCAATTTGATTACTCACCGCCTACACGACCTTTGCTTTTGCGGCACGGTGCGCCCATATACCACAATTAAATCGTAACACCCACGCGACATCAAGCAATGCATCACCGACTTAAATATCGGCAAAAATCAGCATTTACGAAAAAACTAAGCACATTGAACTACGGGCTGTGTCAGCTTTTCGAATTTCAAAGTCAGCTGATCTTGCTGAACATGTTCTCCACTTCCATGAGATAGCCAGGTTATAGGTGTAAAAACCCAGAAATATACGTTAGTGCAGCATTGGAGATGCATTTGCTGGATGTTGAGGAGTGCGGCTACTGAAACAATGCTTTTTAGGGTGGCTGTCACGGGGACAATTGTGGGCCAAATCAGATACCATCCGCTCCTGCCTAGTATAGTAGGTCGTACCTTGATGTTCGAGTTGAGCATCTCGTCGAACTGTTCCTGCGACATTTTCGGCACCGAGTGCACCATGTCGAGCAGCTGTCGGCCGACCGTGGCGTCCGGCTCGGTGGTCCCCGACAGTACCCCGTCCACGTACGCTGGCGGAGCGGGCAGGGCGGTATCGTCAGAGGTCGAGCACACGGGAGGTAGAACAGGAAAAAAAGAAAACGAGACAAACGGGGTATAGCGGAGAAGAGCATTCATAGGCAGTTTTCCAACAGTTTTCCAAACGACCAATAAGTACACCCCACATACGCTAAAACTACCAATGCCTGCAGTTCAAATCCACAAGGTGTTCAGTGTCCTGGGATCTGGGGCCCATGAAACAGCAACTTAAACGTTTCTCATTTCAATGCTTTTTTTTTACCTAATGACGATTGTGAAAACATGACGGCGAAAAAAAAGAGTGAACAAAATGGCGAGAAAGAAACAAAGCAAAATTAATATCGAATCAACATAACTATCGACGGAATATCTCATTCTGTTTTCTATGCTGGGTTGTGGGAATCCTTCATG